GCCAGTCCCCTTCGCTCTCTGGAGCTTTGATATTCTGTGCGTAGGAAGTGTTTGCAAGGATCTCAGGCCCCTTCTCGTAGTTGATGGCTCCACGCTGGTATAACTTGTGTGTGATGGATACAAGCTTGTAGTGCGGCTCGAGGACAGGCTCGCCGCTGCGGCCCTTCTTCCCTGGCAGTGTCTCAATGGCGCTCACAAAGGCATCTATGACAGACTCCCAGGTGGGCCCCTTTTGAGGGCCCAGTGGTGCACCTATTGATTTCCCATACTGCAAGGTGCTATCATTGGCTGACCACATCTTCCACCCACACTTTCCAAGCATAAAGTGATTCCACCACTTATTCGGGTTTCCTTTGATAGCCCTCTTGTAAAGAGTGCTTGCGAACTTCCAAGCAGTGTAGGAATGCAATGGAACGAAAACAACCTCCTTGTATAAGGACGCGTTCGTTTGTAGATTGCAGAATCGTTTCTCACTCTCGCGAATCTGGAATGCTTCCATACCGAACGGCTCCCTGGACGACGCGTACATACGATTCCCGAACTCAGTGTACATCTGTGCGATCTTGCTTTGGGTTCCCGGCGCCACGTCAGCATCGCGAGTAGCGCATGCCACAGCCATGATGTAACAGTTGATTGCAGCACGTTGGAAATTAACCACTTCAGCGCTGTTACTGTTCATCTTATCCGCGTTCCAGGACACAGCTTCTTCGAGCTGCGTGTCGTTGGCTTGGGCAAGACGATACCAGGTCTCCCAACGTTCGATAGAGTGTTCCAGATCCTGCACGAAGAACGCTTGGGCGTAGTTGAGGTCTTCCGTTGGTCCTTGGGTTACACGTTTCTGTGACCGGAACTTGCTCAGCGCCATGTTGCCCATCATATAGTACCATCCCTTCGATGCAGCCACCGCTTCCTCAGGGGGAATGTGCTTTGTGGCGAGCGAACCAACACCTTTGAGACATCCAAAAAGTGCTACAGGATTGACGGGCGATTTGAAGTAACTGGAAATGACTTTGCGGTTGAAGGTGATGTCCTCGTTCTGCTTAGGTCGGCCAAGAGCAGCATGGACCTTCTCTATGGTGCCTTTGAGTTCGTGCTTGGGTAGATCCTTGAGATCGACCTTTGCAGCTTGCGACATCGTGAAAGACAATATACTAAAGGCAGTCTTCTTGTCAAGTACGTCTGTTGTGGTCTGGAAGTTCTGACACTCCAGAGGATCAACAAACAACTTCAGTCCGTACAGATCGTTAAGTATCTGGCAGAGCTCGGTGGCATGACTAGGGCCATCGGCAATATCGTCCATGCGTAGCAGCTCGTCTTTCGCAAGCCTCAAGAATTGGCGATTGGAAAGATGGCAGAAACTACGCACACCTGTGGCATGGTGCACATGGCGGATGTACTCGAACAAATCATCTGACGGATTGGGGAACGCTTCCGATTCTTGAGACATCCCATCTTTGAGTAGGTGGTACTGCAATATCCAGAGTCGTAGGTGAATGTCGTCAAGCCGTGACATCATGTTGACAAATGCTGAGCTTGGCTGGGATTCGACTCTCGGCATAGAAATGTGGTTGACGCGAATCAGATCTCGGAGCATATCTGCCGCTGACATGATGTGCAACAGCTCAGTGATAGCTGACATGGACGATTGGACATGCTCGTATGGAAGGGATGCGAATGGTGCTTCATTATCTCGAACGATCTGAATGATTTTTACAACCATGTCGTCGATGACCCGGTACCGGGTCAAGAGCTTGTGTTGCCGGTCTAGTATTGGAAGTTCCTGGAAAGTCGTAGACCTCAGATCCGTCACGAGGGCCTCAATGCTTCGGAGGAAGCATGACAAAACTTTGGAAGGATAATCGATAGCCTCATAAGCGACACGTAATCTGTTCCAAAGGGAGAGCCGGACGTTGACATTCGCAGAATCCAGAAATTTGCGCATCTCTAAGATGGGTGAAGCGCGATTAAGTTGCTGCTCGGAGTTGGTACTTGTGGAAGGCGAGATGGATGTATCAGTGCCGCCATGTTCCGTTCCATCTGGCTTCGGGGGTGTATTGAGCTCAGTAGCATTCGCAAGCTCCAAGATCGGTTCCAGGCTTTCTACAACCGTTACTGGATCCTGCTCCTCCTGGTCGAAGACCTTCAGGAAGAAGTCTTTCATGCTAATGCGCACGAGTTCTTGCTCAATAGCAGCCACCGACAATTCCGGCATGACAGCATTGTTTTGTAATTGAATTGTATGGTCGCCCAAAGGCTCGAACATATCCTTCAACTCCGCCATGGCAGACAACACATGTTCTGGTGCTACCTCGTTATTAACACTCATTTGGAAGACCGTCGCCCAAATGTGGCGCAGAGTTAGATCATCGGTGCCCTGACTTGGTCGACAGTCAGACCGTAGTTGTAGAGCCTCTCGCGCGAGCAAAGACCACCGCTCCAGACGGTCACTTTGAAGGACCTGGGTTCTAGTGTCTATTACGCTTTGTGGATGCTTGATTAGGGAATAGATGTCGAGATGCAGCTCGAACAACGTCTCCACAATTTCTATCTGCGAATTGTCAAAGTCGGAGAGCTCATACACCTGAGACTGGTGTGTAGCGCCCAGCATGCGTCGATTAAGGCTGTCGACGCGCTCAACCATGCGTTCATAGATGTACTCATCGATATGAACAATGACTTGTACAACGTTGCGCTTGAGGTCCTCGGCCCATCTAAACTGCATGTAGCTTGACTGATCTCTCAGCTTTGAACAAAATCCTGGTGTGAACAGAGATTCAATCCAGCCGAACGCGACTTCTTGAATTGGGAGCCAGCCATTGTTGACAGACCTTGCGAAGGCATTCAACCCCTCGCTACCCAACAGAGGTTTGCTAGAGGCCTGGCTTGAAGTTGCTTTGGAGAAACCAAGGAACGCATTCAGCCCATGTTCTCTAGTCGCTCCAAGGAGATCAAACGATTCGGAGCTGAGAAGTATTTGGGCAACTTTGATATGCCCACTTCGTAATCCTGTGAAGAAATCGCATGCCGCTTTGTCGATAGGATCCGTAGCGGTTGCATCCGGGAGCGCTGTGACCAGCTTGCGTAGTTCCTCAGGGTCTTTGATGCCTTCGACACCGAGTCGCGCATACGTGTCTTTGAGAATCTCGTAGCGACATTGGTCTGTGTACGTATATGTTTCGAGTTGTGCATCCAGCTGCTTGCTCGCCTCTTGAGCTGCTCCGCCAGAGGTTGGCTCAATCAAGCTCTCTCGACCTCGAATACGTTTACTACGCGATCTTCCCCCTTCTGCAGTTTCGGGCAGACCGGCAGAGTCTGTGGATCGCTTGCGTGACGGAACTGGGGCGACATTGGAAGGACCAGCAGGCGCTACTTCCTCGTTCTTAACTTCGCTCTCGACATCCTGCTCTTCCATTATGGTGTCTTCGCCATCCTTCTCGGTGACAGTTTCCGCGTCGGCAGTACTAGCTATAGGCTCCTCGATCTGGGGTGGTGGTGTTGGTTCAGGTGCAGGCGATACGGCTTCCTGTATAGTGTCGGGTTCGATGCGCTCGGGGGTCTCGCTCTCGGATGGTATGCTGAAGACTATGTTCGATCCAGAAGGTACGTGGGGTGTCATGCCCTGTTGCTCCGCCTGGAACTGCCGCACAATGATTTCACCCACGCCTGCCCAATCCCATTTGGTAGGAGCCAAGGTTACGCTCTCCGAACCCGTCTTGATGTTGTGTAGGCTTTCGGCGAGGGCGACATCGGCTGGAAGAGGCGCAAATGGGAAAGGATTTAAACGCATCTTCAGCGTCTCGGACAGCTTTTTGCGTTTGATCGAGGATATTGGCGCCTGGCTCAAGGAGACATTATCCTCCAAACGCTCCACAAGCTCCCGCAGCTGTTGTCCGGCAAAACCCTCTTCAAGGCCAGGAAGTCGCAACAGATTCTCCCATTGTTCATCATTGCCATCCAAGACAGCCTCCAGACAGTAGCGAGTAAGACGCTTACTGCCTAGCATAGCCGCGACAGATGCAGTGCGTAACCAGAGATCGAGATCGGTATCTTCTTTGTCCAGCGCCTCTGCGAAGTAGTTTAGAGCACCACGAGTGTTGTTCCACGCTTCCCTTGGAAGTGCAGCGCCACTTGTGGTGATCCAATGCTGCATCGCCTCGAGCAAAAACTGGCCATGGTTCTTGTAGGACAGGTGTAGTATCTGCTGAAGCGTGTTGGGGGCGCTATCGGCAGCGCCTGTAGACTGAACGGGCCCTGCCTCGTAGTCATCCTCCAAGATGGTGTCGAACACCAGGTCCTCGCCAAAGACTTGATGTCGCTGGTACTCAGAGAGAGATTCGGCGTATTTGAAGATGTCTGATTCGAAGAGGGCCTTGTAAGCGGCGGCGGTCTTGTCGAAGGAGGATGGGCCTTCGGAATGGTATTTGAGGGCGGTTTGGTACAGCTTCAGCGCCTCTTCGATCTGGATCTCCTGGGTATCGTCGACTTCCTCTTCGGCGGTCTCCTCGGGGAGTTCGACATTGTAGGGATGCCAGGTGGAGGCCTTCGACTACGACTTGTCAGCGAGGTGGTTGAATTCCCCGGGGTTGTACTTGCCATGTTGGGGGTGTGGGAAGTTGTGAAAGGCCTAAGGGCGGACGAGACACGATCTACAACATTGGTAGCGCAGACACCGAGCAGCAGGCATGGGTGGCGCGACAGCACAATAGACAAAGAAAGCGTTATGCGACGGTCGGGTGCTATGACACGTCTTGCGGCCTCGGAGTGACGCGACGCGACAGTGAATGATGGAGCGCAGGGATGACCCGTCTTGGCAGCTGCGGTCCTCCGCGATGGAGCTGCCCGTGCCTGCCCTCCATGCTTCGACGAGGACACCGAAACCCTGACAAACCTCCGCCTGACTGTGACCTTGTATACCGGGCCCCTCGGTCAGCATCCACCCCCTGCCATAGCATCCTTTGCACCGCGATCGTCCCCCCGCTTCTGCGGCGCCAATTGCAACCATGGTCACTTCGCCAGCTGTTCCTGAGTACGCGCATCCTACTAGCTTTCAATCTATACATGTTTTATATATGCGCACATGCGCTGCTCTTTTCCTGCTCCTATAGCGCCACATACTGACATGGCGCATCATCTCCGTACGGCCGTCTGACATTACTCCAGAATCTATGAGGACGAGCTACACTCGGCAATCGAAGCGCGCTCAGAATCTCTGCAAACGCTACGAGAGCTGGGCCCGCCAGATCTGGTCCACCTCATAAAACAACCCATCAAGAGTGCGACAAAACAGGTCCGTAGTACCTTCGGCCGTACAGTAGCCCGCGAGCCCGGTTTGACATGTGATTAGGTTGGCGTTTACCACCACGTATCCGGCGTAGACGCTTCCTCGTCTGCCAGCTTGGCAGCCTATATCAACACCCTCACATACTCCGCGCATGACAAGCAGAACAAGGTCGTCTCCGGGCTGTACTGGTAGGGCAACGTCTACTTATAGCATAGGCAACCGCTGACCGAGCAGCTGCTACAATGCCTTCTCACGCCTGGATATGCGCGTGCAGGTCTACATTCCCGGCACAGTGGAGAGTTACTGCATCGACGAGCGCGGCGACAAGCGAGTGGCCACCGACGAACTGTGGTTAGAGACCTACCTGTGTAGTGTGCTGCGCGCATATTCCTATGCCGACGATGGCTCAGGCGACACTATCAAGAAGATTGTTGGTGTGCGAAGATTCAACCCCATTACAAGCACCGAGAGCGAACACAAGTTTCTGGATGCGGCTGAACGCCTGTTCTTCAACGGTAAGACCGACTGCTCATATGATGGCATGTCCGCTAATGCACTTCAGGTTGGCAACTCGGATCCGACCCTGAGATCCAGGTCCCCAATCTTGTCTCAAATCACTTGACTACCGGCCTCCTTGACTACATCCACACCACCGGCAGATATACCTCGGGTATCAACCTGTTCGAAAAACTGCGAACTCGCGACCCGGAGATCTCGTCCCTACTAGCACGAGTATACATTGAAGCAGATGAAGAGGTGCAGGCGGTCCAGCTGCTACACGAGGCGATCCAGGAACTACCCATGGATTACTCCCTCCTCGATTGTCAAGCCGAATTTTGCAACAAGAAGGGCCGCGGTGATCTGGCACTTGAGATTGCTAAGAGGAGCGTTGTGTCTGCGCCTAGTGAGTTCGGCACATGGGCGCGCTTAGCGGAAATATACGTCAGCCTCGAACAGTGGGATATGGCGCTATTGACTCTAAACTCATGCCCGATGTTTACCTACCAGGACAAGGATGCGCCACGCATGCCAGAGCCACAGAAAGTCTTCCTGCCAGTCATGCCCGAAGCCATGTGCGATGAGATTGAGGATTCTAGCATGGACGATATGGAGCTTGTGCACCCAACCCTGAGGAAACTGCACGCTGCAGGATTCAAGGGTACATTCCTAAAAGCTTATATTCTGCTCACCGAAATCACAAAGAAAATAGGATGGGATCAATTACTCAAGATAAGAAGCCAGGTCTTCGTCATGGAGGAAGAATATCGTCATGAGAAGACCGCACAGGTACCGCATTCTCGCAGCGCAAGCACAACAGCACTCCGCTCCCCTTCTCCGAACACGCATGCTCAACAAATGAATGGCGAACATGGCGAGGTTGAGGAGCGATCCTCCGTAGATGAATCAACCACGAACGGCGAATCCTCTTCCGCGGCTGCTGAAGCAGTTCACGATCTCGAGAAGCCAGGTCACACTGTTGCATCCGAAGTCGTAAAGGCCGGCAGCGAGGACCCTCACGCACACGATTCCGCCAACAACGGCAACCCCTCGCAACCAAACTATACACACTTCCAAAACAAGCGTCTTTGCGAACGCTGGCTCGACAACCTCTTCATGGTCCTGTATGAGGATCTTCGCGTATATACGATATGGCGAACAGAGATGGCACAGTACAGGCAGCAGCAACTCCTATACAAGAAGAGCAGTGAGGAATGGGAAATTCTGGGTGAACTCGCGGAGAGACTGCATCACACAGAAGAGGCTGTCGAAGCATATGAGAATTGTCTGCAAATCAAGTTCTCGCCGAAAGCCATGAGGGGTGTGTTGAAGTTGGGTGAGGAGAGAAAACAGGTTAGGGATGTTACAGCCGCGCTGATCAGATTGGTCACTTGGCAGTATCGATGGTACTCCGAGGTGAGTTTCAATGCCCAAGCTACAAGCGTGCAAGTACTAACAAAAGATAGTTCTCGCCATCCCTCCTCTACACAATCCGTAAACTTATTGAGGAAGAGGGTGCCGTCAAGATCCGCAGCATCATCCAGGGCACCTCTCTACCACAACACGTCCTCGATCTCACACACCAGTATGCGGCATTGTGTGCTGCGTTCAGGAGCAGCGGTAGCGACGGTTAGCAGCCTTCGCCTCTCAAAATCTACGGCTACACCAACAACAGCCTTGACCTCTCTTAGTTGGGGAGGTAAACTAGAGATATCTTTGTGTTAATGCATGGAAGCGCTGGTGTTGGAGATGCACATGTTAGACCGTTAATAGAGTCCATTGCCTTCTTCATCGCATGACTGTGTGACTTGACTTCTGTTTGTAATGTGCGGCCACGCATGCAAGAGATGGTTGTCTGGTTCGCTGTGCCATTGCATCAGTCGAACCTCACAAGCCTTTGCCTGCATCACTTTGGACATGTCGGTACTTGCCCTGAACAGATTGAATTGGCATTCGCTTATCCCTATGTTCTCACTGGGGTTCATGGTCATCCACACTCCGTATGCCCTTGTCCATGTTCTTGCAACCAATGTATTCATTTTTATCGTCACAAGCCGGGGGATCGTATAAGGCAGCCGTTGCGCGCCATGTCACGTAACCTCGTCCTTGAGGGATAGATAGTAGACAGTAGAAGACCCCATGAAAAAGCCCAGGATGAACACCGCTCCATGCTCCCCCACACACCCTCTGTGTTTCTTCTCCTCCACCAGCAAGCCAATGTACCGCTTAACGGTAAGACTTCTGGTACCTGGCGCGGGCACCTGGACCACCGAACTTCTTGGGCTCGCACCGCCTGTTGTCGGCAACGAGAAGTGTGCGGTCGTACTGGATCAGAGCCTGCTTGAGCTGGTTCTTTGAGTGCTCGTCGACGTACTTCTGGTAGTAGGCGATGATGGATTTGGCAATGGCTTGGCGGATGGCGTAGACTTGCGAGGTGTGACCACCACCGGAGACGCGGACACGGATGTCGACATCAGCTGCCCATGTTGTCAGTATTCCTACTTCCCGTCTTTACTTGGCGTAGAGCGTCGTGTGCGTACCGAACTTGTCAACACCGAGGATCAGGATGGGCTCGTAAACCTTGAATCGCAAGATCTCGGGCTGGACCTGGGAAAGAGGCTTTCCGTTAACCTTGACGAGACCCTTTCCGGCCTAGAAATTTCTCGTAAGTATCACGTTCGGTTGCGCGCTCGATTCGTGGGATTGCGTGTGTACCTTGCAGTGGGCGACAGCTGTTGGCGATTTTGTTAGCCTTTGTCATTCTCTTGCTTGTGTGTTTGGCGGTGGGCTATCCGTACCAGTCGCGGTCTTCTTCTTGCCGAAGCATTGCACGCTCTGGGAGGCCATGTTGGGCGACTGTGGGATGTGCGTGCGGTTAGTACGGGTGGGCGTGGTCGGTTTTGCTGTCGTCGTGGAGGTGAAGTTCGTGAACGCCGGCTAGAATTGAATGTGGGTGTCCGTGCGTCGCGATCCCTGTAAGCGATTAGCGTCTTGTCTGGCTAGCGTGGTCAAGGACACTGGCACCTTCAGGGCTCATACAAAGGGAAAACTAAACTCAGGAATAGCAAGTCTCCTCTTGTAGTTCGCGTCAGGTTATGTCAAGAAAACTTTTTGAAATGAACAAGGCTGTAGACTCCCATTCTGTCGACTAATGCCTTTGTCGTCGACTTGGTGGGAATTTGCCACGCCGAGTGTCCTCAGGCGCTGAAGCAGAGCACTTTCTCGGAGCCTTTGACAAAAAGTGCGTCTTGGATCTACCTCAATCTTTTTTGTTAATACTGGAGGGGTTCTGGTCGATACAGCCTGCCTACATCAAGCCACCCAGCACTGCAACATCCAACAATATACTTGACGCGATAGCTGTACCCCTTCGTGAAAGCATATCAATTTCCTGGGCAGATTGCTCATTCTCCCTTGCTCGAATTTCCATTTGGAAGACCACCACTACAAACCAAGCATGTCATTTACAGATACAAGTTTTCGGGAATCGCCCCTCCAATTATACGTCTTTGGGAGTAACGGTGAAGGCCAACTCGGTATACCAGCAGCGGATATAGTCAACACACCAACTCGAGTTTCTGACCCCAACCCTTTGAGTCGCAACGGATCTGTTGATGAGCTGAAAACGATCAAAGGCGGCGACAACCATACGCTGCTCGTCGCAAAACGCGGCACCATCTACGGGGTTGGCGATAATCGCAAGGGTCAGCTGGTCAAGGGAATACCAGAATCTCGACTCGATCGTTTCCAGAATTTGACTTCCGGATGCAACTTTGCCGCAGCTACATGCGAATCTTCCGCCTTCATCGGGAGCGCAAGCGATGAGCTGGAGCCTAAATCATCGGACGGTTGGGTCGAAATTCGAGGCTCTAACAATTGGGGTGAGTTGGGTTCGGACGACGGAGGTTCGACCCGATTCCATCTACCAGGCAAAGTAGTAGACTTTGCAGCGGGGGTTTGGCATTACGTCGCCGTCATGGCCGATGGTTCAGTCTATGGCTGGGGAAAAGCGCGTCTTGGCCAGCTTGGGGACACGCTGTCTGGCAAAGTTACAGTGGCTACCAAGATTGAGGACATACCATTCAAGCCGGAAAAGGTTGTATGTGGTAAAGACTTTACATACTTGGTTGGCGACCCAATCGAAGGACAGCATCATTTACTCGGGAAAGACAAGTTCAACATCATCTCGAATATGCCGGATCATATCAAGAATTGGAAGGACGTTGGCGCGACGTGGCACGCAATCTTTGTATTGTTCGAAGACGGGATCCTTACCGCGTGGGGTAAGGAGAATATGTGGCAACTAGTACCACCTAATCTGCCGCTTCTAGATAAGATAGCTGTCGGTTCGGACCACATACTTGCTGTAACAAGGGAAGGCAATTTGATATCGTGGGGCTGGGGTAAGCACGGAAACTGTGGCGATCTCTCCAATATCGCGATTGAGATTAAGAACGACATGGTCAGCGGTTTCTGGAATGAGATCAGTATACCAGGGACATTTGAGATGATTGGGGCTGGATTCTGTACCAGCTTTGTCGTTACTAAACAATCAATCACGTAAAGTCCGCAAAGAAATCTCCGGAGAGTTCGACATGATCACTGGCGTTTGCATCATCAGGTTGGATCGTAAACCTACGCGATTTCATAAGTCTAATCTATCCTGTATATCTAATGTAGTGTTTATCAGATATTAGACTCTATCGCTCAATACTCCTCTTGAACCAAACTCCATTCCGCAACCGTCCCACCATCAGTAGCGTTCTCAGCGAACAAGTTGCCCCGAATACCCAAGTGCGCATAACGTCCGCTCCAAACACTCTGCTCCAGGCTGACATTTGTCTGATTGCCAATATATGTCTTGATCTCATAAGCAGTAACCGGGTCCCAAGGCGCACTGATCTCTACATCTCCTGCCGCCACGTTCCTTATATCAGAATCAGAATCAGATCCCGACTGGCTTTCGAATGGTGGTAAAGTACTATTGGAAAAGTAAACTTCGAAGTGTGAGGGTGGCTGGTTACCCCAGTCCATTACAACTTTATTGACTGGATAGAACGATGAGGTACCAAGGTCCACGGTCAGGTAGCTCGTGGTGTTGGCGAGTTCAGGTTGCCATTTCGTGCTTGCGGCACCGTCAATCGCTGCAATTGGAAACTGACCAGGCTTGTTTCCTTGTGGAGGTGGCAGCAGGGCTTTGCACTGGAGTATGTTGCCGCCCACAGTAAGGGTTTCGCCCATTGCTCTGTTACGGATTACGATTGGCTCGTCTCCAAGCTCGTATGTTGTGTTGTCGCGTCCGCTGCGGGTACCGATCGTGACGGGGATGGGCTTGTCGAAGTACGTCGCGTTTGCTGAGGGCAGAGTGTAGTTCTCTCGTGGCAGACGTGCTAACGTCGTATGAGTTGAGTTGGAGGTAGCGTTAATGCCGTGACCCATCCAGTAAAAGGTACGGTAGTTCAGGTACGATATCTGTGGCGGCAGCGTGGGGTCAATATCTAGTCTATCGTAGTATAGACCCAGGCCAAGGTAACCAAAAATACCGACGCGGTTGGTTCCACCCATACCAGTCAGGAAAGGGAATGCAGGGTGCGTTCCCCCATTCTCCTCCACGTTATCGATGAGTTGCTCGGAATACTGATACCAAGGCGCGCGGACGTACGGCGAAGAGGAGTATACGTCGTACGTAAAGCTCGAGCATCCGGATGGCGACACTTCGTTTGCGACAACAGCAAATGAAGAGTAAGTCATCGCAGGACCATCGAGTGACTGCTTTGCCGCGTAATAGTCCAGGTTGGACAGGCTGTAGGGGTTGGGGTAATGTAACAGATCGTCCACCAGGACAACATCAGCCTGCTTGACGGCTACTGACCCATTCATGCCAGTATACTCAACAATGATGCTGGCCTTCTCATTGATTGGAAGTCGCATCTTGGAAGCCTTATCCGCCCAGCTAGCGTTGGGACTGCGCCCAAACCAGCTATTGAACTCGTTTGTCTCAAGAAAGTGACGTTGCATGAGTGCCGTAGTAAAGCCAATGTTGTTGACCTGGTTGGCATACTCGTCCGGATCGGTAGCATTCCACAGCTCATACGCACCAGAGGTTTCGTTGAAGTCCAGCAATTGACCAAAGAAATGCGCGATGGCGTTCGAAATTGGTAGCAGGGTATCATTGAAGTATTCTTCGTCTCCGGTGATGATCAAGTGGTTGTTCATAGCGAGGCTAATGTCTCCGTTGAGATGGTATTCGTAATCGAAGCAAGCGCCAGTTCCGGTACAGTTACCGAATCGTCCGCTTGTCCATGGATATACAGCCCCTCCAGGCGTGAATCTGCCTGTTTGGTTTTTGCTCGATTGATACGCAGTTTCGACATTACGTTGCGCTTGGTCGAAGTGCTCCACACGATATTTGATAACGTTTTGGGCATGCTGCGGATGTGATACTTGCACTCCAGGTGCCATCCATACGTCTGCATCCCAGAAAATCATACCTCCATAGCAGTCTGAGCCCAGCCCGCAAACTGGTATGCTGTAGATGTCGAGCTTCGTGTTGTTGTTAGCCGCAGCTACAGCATTCGGTCCGACCATGTTTGACAATAAGTAGAAAGGGTTGGTTCGCGCCATGATATGCAGCTCCCGCACGTCTGGATCCTCAGGCAGGGATCCATTCAGCAGATGGTAATCATCGACCGAGTCTGGTGTTAGAATCGACTCCCATTCCTCTATATGAGAGTGAACCAGCTTGTAGTAGCCCTCTTGAGCGCCGGAAAGTGAAGCGTTGCGCGCTATGCTCTGCGGATCTGGGAAGGCATCGGTCGACGCGACTCCAATGAACTTCGTGATTTCGGTGGGACGGAAAGCGACTAACTCAATGGGCAGCGACTGGGCAATGCTTGAGCCATTGCCACCGCTAAAGACTCCCTCTGCTACTTTGCTACGAGAAGTAAGGTTCACCCAGTCACTACCACCCAAAGTCGAATATACATAGGCCTTGACGTCGGTAATGTTTCCAGGGCTGACAGCAGACCAAATCGTAGGGGTATCTTCCTCGAACTTCTTGTCGACAAAGTCTGAGCGAACAGCGCAATCACCGTCTAAGACATCGTAGACCGTTACGTTCAGATCGCGCGTTGCCGTAAGTCTTAGCCTGACCGCTGCTTTGTTGACGTAAAGCTTGTGCACGAACATCTGGTAGTCCACATCGACAGTTCCATCTCCGGAGCCTCCCGGCTTCCAGTTGTATCGCCAGCTCGCTATTCCAGCTTTTACGTCCAGACTCGATACGAAATCCGAAATGTGGTCGGGATTGACCGACGCATTCAAGAAATGGCCGTTCGCTTCAACAGCCAGGCCGCTCGAGTGTGGAATACCTGCAGTAAAGCTTTCCCACCCATACTGATATAGCCAAGGGTAGTTTGATCCGTTTGTTCGTGGTTGGCTGTTCCAGAAGCCTGCGATCGTCGAGAAAGTCTGTCGTCTGCTGAACAATGGCCATCCGCTTATGACGTCGCCATTTACTGGCTCGTCGACTTCGAAAAAAGGACCTGCGGATGCCACATTAACGCCAAAGTAACCATTTGCGAGCGTCAAGCGCGATTGGTAGTGGCCTTGATCCAAAGCATGTGTCGCTATAACCCAATTCTGGTCATCCCAAGTCACGTCTTTGAACTGGTCATGCTCGCTGCTGGTGGAAGTCAGAACCAGGTGCGCGGAAGCTAAAAGCGCGACTGCAGATTGACGAAAGTTCATCAACAGCATATCCTACTATCAAGAGAAGAATAGAGTCCTGATAACGGAGCAATTCCCGACGCGTCTGAGGCATGCCAGCTTTAAAACAAGGTACAAAGGCATGTCGATCATTCACATAGCTGGCACGGAGACGCCCACGGGGCGCCACCCGTTCGTCTTTCTTACCTTTTTCCACACCGCTAGGCACGAGCTAGCTGTTCCGATAGCTCGTCACAAGCTTGTTTCGCGGACGCTAGGCCCTTCGTGCGCCGTCTTTGTAGTGCGAATTCAATCCATTACTGTCAAACAGAAGACAGTCTCAAAACAATGTCGTTGAGTAAGTTGGCCGTTGGAAGCGCCATCTGCCGCGTGATGGAGACGCGTCAATCTCAAGCGCTCGAGGCCACAAGACACGGAACATTCGGGATCGTGCGCGAATGACGTCATGGCTGACATCCAAATCAACGCTAAATTTGTCACCCCATCGTTCATCGAATGTCGAACAGTGCAGATCAGCAATGTTCCGAGGAGGTCAGAGTTATGACCACCACGAGATTCCGGGGCCACGACTGTCAGCTTTGGGTGTCGAGATGGCCGCTACCCCAATTTCGGCGCCCCGCTCTGTCAGTGGCTGAGTCAAGCGATTACGAACCGCAACCATGTAACTTTCTCAGCTGAATGATTGCAATCCATACTTCATTCGCAACCATGGCTCAACGCATCGTGTCAAAGTTCAAAAGACGCTCCAAGAAGGCTACCAGCGACATCTATATACCACTCGATGCCAAATCGCGTACGATTCGTCTGCTGCATCTCCAACCCGGCACCTGGGAAGATGATATCTGTGCGGAGCTCCAAGTAGCTTCCATTGCACGGGTTCGAAGGCGTTATATCACCATCTCGTACACGTGGGGTGAGGAAGGTGTCGCCCGTCCAGTACTGATAACATGCAATGGAAAATCTGTTCCGATCTCTCGGAATCTATTCACGGCTCTGCGCAAACTTCGACGGCCTGACCATACAGTTCTGCTCTGGGCTGATGCTCTATGTATAAACCAAGCAGATTCTCTGGAGCGCACTCAACAGGTGGGCATGATGGGTGAGATATACAGCAACAGTCGCGAGACGGTCATTTGGCTAGGCGAACCAATGCCAAATGAGGAATTCACAGCCTGCTTCTCGAACGATCCTACTTCTAAAATAACATGGAGAGGTGATTCAAACGATAATCTGCTACGGAGTTCATTCATCCTCGCTTTCGAGCGCTCGTGCACAGCAGAGCAGTCGGCTGCTTCTGCAGTGTCTTCGTTCATGCGTCCAGTGCCGGACGTCTTTGGTGCGTTTTGTTTGATTCAAGATTTTGCCGAGGATACTTCTTATCCTTTGCTCGAATTACTAGATCGTAACAAAACCACTATATTGGATCAGATTGAACATCCCAGGAGGCATGCATTCACAGTCACAAACGACCATTGGCGTCAACTGCTGTCTCTTAGGGTATGGGAAGGTCTCACAAAGTTGATGGGCGTGGCTTGGGTGCATTCCTCCGATCTCTTCATCTGATATAAGCTGACGATACAATTACTAGTGGCAGCGAATCTGGGTGATTCAAGAGACTGTACTCTCAAGGAATGCCACAGTACATTACGGCCCGCTTTCAGCACCATGGTCAATGTTCGCTAGAGCAGCTATGAATTATGTCCAACAGCGTCACACGCTATGCCTGGACTTAGCTGGGACACGCTATGGCCAAGACACCTTGGATCGATTCAGCGGTTTCGTGCTTCGCATCGAGGAAACAAGGCTTTGTCATCGTAGTAACTTAGACAACATGACGTTGTTGGATCTATTATGGAAGTTTAGGCCTCTAGAAGCGACCGACAAACGAGATAAAATTTTCGCTCTTCTTGGACTGACCACAGATTGGCAAGAATTACCAGCTCTAGTTCCTCATTACAACAACGATGCTGCGACAACGTTTACTCAGACTACGTTGAGTAACTTGCTAAGAGCAGGTTCACTATCAGTTCTCGCAGGAGATCTTGAAGCTGTTCTTAATCGAAAAAGACTGGAAGGCCTCCCATCCTGGGTGATGGACTGGTCACTCCCATGCCTCCGAACTGAGATAGAAAGAGTTGGATCCCTGCACTTGTACAACGCCAGCGACAAACATGGAGGCACTTTCCTTTACCGCCCAGAGAATCACGTGCTGGAAGTCGATGCTCTGTACATTGATCACGTCTCCACTGTTGGCGAAGTTAGCCGACATACACAGATCAACGACACATGCGCCGTGATACGTAGATGGAAGTTGCTTACCAAACCCTTCGAACCAGTCGATAAAATATATCCTACTGGAGAGCATTGCGAAGATGTTTTCTGGCGAACATTGATTGGAGACTTAATATATATGGGCACTGCTGTCAATGCTCAGGGGACGAAAAGCTCTTACCGTCGAGCTACAAGTGACGACTATGACGCATATGAATCATGGAGGCAATGGGCTCGTTGTATCTCGCGAGACACTATCGATCGCACGGCGCCCTTCAATCTCGACGAAGAAACATCTGGAATCCACCACGCCCTCAAAACTGTGACAGCCTCCCGGCGCTTCTTTCTCACAAGCACCGGATACATGGGCATAGGTCCAAGAACGACTGTTGAAGGTGACAGAGTGTACGTGTTTAAGGGCAGCAAAGTTCCATTCATAGTCCGAGGAGGTGGACTGATAGGAGATAGTGATGGATTCTCCTCCGATCATGCTGATACATCTGTGAAAGATGGTTCTCGGTTGATAGGTGACTGTTTTGTTTACGGGTTGATGGACGGCGAGGCTTCCACCCAAGAATTCGTGCGCAGTGTAAAGCTCAATCTAATCTGATCATCCAATTTACTAAATTCTTCGAGGGTAACCACAATTGGAAGCTTATTTGATATAACGAGCTACAAAAATATTCACAAGAACAAAACCAACCCCTTCTCTCCGAGATACTGGACGCTGCAGATAACTGCGAACCATAAATCTCCTATCGCATGTATGCGCGACGTATTGATGAGACCGTAAGCGTAATGGCTTACCACTTGCGCTCCGCCTTCAACTTCCTCCACCAGTCCCTTAGCATCCAAGCATCGAACTCGGTAATCTCCATCGCGCTACCGGCCATCATAATGAAGTTGGTCTGGCCCTGGGGTACCCAGTCGTAGAAGTCTGGTTCAACGTTAGTACTAACATTTAGAATATCAGTACGCAACATACCTAGAAGACCGAGACCGTGGCCCATCTCGTGAAGCAGAATATGGATGTTCTCCTCATCGATGTTGTTGAGGAAGTAGTCCGGACCGATTTCCTGGCCCCAGTTGTATCCATAACCACCCATCTGACCTTCAAGACTCTCGTCGAGCCAGAGGCTGATATCGTAACGGCTGGCCTCACCGCCGGGGCACTGGCTCAAATCGCCGTCGAGATGAGCGCCGCGGTAGCAGCGGACGTCGCACTCAGGTACACCGTCGGCATCAGCTGTAGTGTAGATGTCGAGACTGGTGGTGTCGCCTTCGATGAGGTTCTTGTTCTTGACGGCGTAACCAACAACGTCGACATTGAGTTCGGTGAGCGGGAAGCCTTCGAATCCAACGAGGATATCGAACCATTTCTGCATCGAGCGCTGCAGGGCTTTGACAGTAGAGGCACGCGCAGTCGCGGTGCTTTTGCCGGAGTGGTTCCAGCGAACGCAGTAGTTGATACTGCCGTTGTTGGCGATCCATTGGTCGGTGATCCAGTTCTTGTCCTGAAGGCCTTGTGGGTTCTCCTTCATAGTCTGCTTCCAGACCTGATCCAAACCAGTGGTCATGCTAGAGGGCGGATTCCATGTTGTCGCTTTGGGGATAGTGGCGCGGGAAGTAAGGTCTTCGGCACGGGCAAAGACGCTGCGTTCCTCGAGAGAGCAGAAGCGCCTGTCAATGTGCTTGATGGTTGGGTGTGCCAGCGCACCCAGACCAAATGTCGAAAAAGCGACGATGGAATTGAAGTTCACCATGTTGATTTTCTAAACGAATGACAATGAAGTTAACGTGGAAAGCAGAAACAAAACGAATGTAAGTGGTTGGTATTCTCTTCTACCAAAAGACTGTAGCTGAATCCTATTATACTATGTTGTTTGTACATCCGTAATTCGTATTAATTCATGTACGATCGTGACCCTGTTGCGCCCTATGAGTGGTGGGTCTAATCGGACATTACAAACCGAAGCAGGATTGTTCTGAATCCTCATTTCGTAATGCAAGATTCGTGCTCGAGGAGAGAATTGCTACGTTTGTTTCGTGGATACCATCCACATGAGGCTGGGCGTTTCAGTCGCACGCGGCTTCCCGTGTTATGAACAGAGAACGGTGCGTGCTGAGCCGTCGGCAGGTGCCGCAGGAAATTTCTCCGTGAGGTAGGCGACGCAGAAGATGCAAGCGCCTATGCGCTCTCTGTTATCCGTTCATGAGGTCTATCCATGCGCTTCGTTCATGTACGAATACCGCGTCAGAGCAGTCGTGATGATGAGTCAAGCTGGAACGGCAAGACTTCGCGTTGAGGTCCAAGCTCAGCTGCACCAGCACATCTCTTATGGCTGTCGAGATCAGCACCTCTCATAGTCTGATCGCTCCGCCATGTGCTTCACGGCTGGCAGGGCTGCACCAATGATACCTGCAGCTTTGTGCACCATAGTCAGCTCCTGGATCCGCGCACTGTGCTCCCTTTTTTCTGTCTCACGATCCATCTCTGTCCACCACCTCATCACTTCCTATCACCCAAGCCATGTTATCTATCTAAACCATTCCGAGAACCTATACTCAACAAGCCTCCACAGGTTCTTAGTAAAACTTCCTGTTGCACAACTATGTGAGGGTAAAGCGATAATCTCGCATTCGCGGTTACTCATCCACTAAGTGGTTTGGTAGTACCTCCAGGACGTTTTTGCATACATCAACACTTGTATGCTCGAACGAAAAGGGTTCATAATACTGAGCCTGTATATTCGGATAATACTCGCCAGCATGAGCAATCTTAGCATCGGGAGGCATGCAAACTACGGAATGATCAATCCGATTCAATTGAAGCCCAAAGAAGCTGTAAGCATGGATATTACATCAGATCAAGGCGTTGCGTCTCTCATGACACCAGGATACCGACTTGTACGATGAACAAGCCGACCCTTCACCCATACCGCAATCGTATTCCGATCATCACCACTGTACACCCACTTCTCCACCTTATCCGACCAACTCTCCCAACCGAACACATCAACCGGACCCTCTTCGAATGTACCATCCTGACATCCCTCTTCGCTGACAACACTGAGGCTAATCATCTGCGCATCCCACTCTTTTCCAACCTCAAATCCGCCGACCTTGTCTTGCATCCCCACCACTGCGGCGCCACCTCGCGTAGCAAGATACAAAGCTTCCTCTGTTGACAGTTTAACAGCATCGCTCGACGTCTGGATGCACAGATGTCGCGACACCCAAATTGCTTGCCGTACATTCTCTAATATCGATGGCGAGTTACCACCCGAAACATCCGTTCCAAGACCGATTGTATGTCCTTCATCGAGCAGTGATCTTATGGGTGCACATCCCGAGGTGATAGCCGTGTTTGATGCTGGACAATGAGAGATCTTGCTCTTCCGCCCTAATATCAGCTTCCTTTCCTCGTCTGAAAGATGTACTGCATGCGCCAAGATCGTCTTATCTGTCAACAACCCATGTGTCTCGTACACATCTGTGTAGCTTTTACTCTCTGGGAATAACTCCTTGACAAGCTCAATCTCGCCCTTGTTCTCCGAGATGTGCGTTTGGACATGTGCATCCGTCTCTTTCGCTAGTCTACCCATAGCGGAGAGACAATCTGTTGTACAGCTAGGCGCAAAACGGGGCGTGATGATGGGTTTCACGATCTCGCCTTTTGGATCGATGGAGCGTATGTAGTCGATACTAGCTTTCGAATCGGCATAACTGCTCTCTGCACTCTTGTCTCTGTAGTACTCGGGGCTTAGGTCGCTGTTCATACACACTCTGCCGACCAGGGCTCTTTGGCCTCGCTTCAGACATATATCTGCAAGGGCGTTGGTGGCTGGCACATGGATCGTGGCGAAGTATGCAGCAGTCGTTGTGCCATGCGATAATGTCCGCGAAACGAAATTCTGATACACACGGTGCGCGAGAGGAACGTTCTTGAACGAAGATTCCATGGGAAAGGTGTACTTTTGTAACCAATCCAGCAGCGTAGTCTTTCCGAAAAGACCGGTATTGGGATGTTGAGGTGCGTGGACGTGTGTATCTATGAAGCCGGGGAAGAAGAAACCAGATCCATTTATCTCGACAATCTGCGCATCAGTCCAGTCATCTCCCTTCTGCTGAATCAGATTGGAAAGGCTACCATCTTGTAGATTCCGTTCGACAAAACGGATTATGCCATCTTCATCTACGCCGATTGCGCCATGTTCTTGGATCTCAAGTTCAGAGAGTGATTTACTGTGAACAAAGGGGCCGATGTAGATGGATTTCGATATCGGTGCTGATGCTGCCATGTTGAAGTTTGTATGTCTTTTTCTGTTCAGAAATTCCTCCTCTTCAAACAACAAGTTTCGGCTTTCCAGCTCGTAGAAGTGAAGACGTGTTCTAGCCGCGGCAATAGACCGGAGCAGGTACCGAGACGCGGATCCAAGTGGAGAACTTTGTGATAAGGGACGTAAGCGTAACGTTTTCAGGATTCGCACAAATAGGGGCCGTTAGAAGTTTGGCATAAGAATCAAGAAGACAATCAAGACAAGAGCAACAGGAGCCGGGTGGCACAGGCAGTACTTATCTGTATCAGTTGCCATAGGTAAGTACGGCTAGATCCGGTTAGTTGCTCGCTAATGTCTAGCACGTGGGGAGCGGAGCGAAGCCGCCAGGGCGATCGGCGTACTCCGATGCCAATTAGCAGAAGCAACAAATGGGCGTCTCACTTCCACAATCTTGTCGAGGCGAAAAGGAAAGAGGTGGCTTGTAAGTGGTCATGAAAATGAATTTGGAGGGTTGCATCTCGCGATGCGTCGCTCGCCTATCGCTACATATGTGCAATCGCCTGTTGGACCAAACTTTACCCCAAGCTTTCCTTTTTGGCAACGCCGGGATATCCATAACCGTGCCTAAACTCCAAAATGGCTGGTTTGAAAAGTAACACATTGCTAGTTCATCACCTATACTACAGGCTGTAGTCGTGGATACCTTGTGGTCCCTGGTCGTTGTAGTCAGGACGTGTCATGTAGCCCTTACTTTGACCCTGGTCGACTACGAAGATGACCTTTGCTGCGACCTGAGCCCCTAGGAAGGCCGACTCGTCAAAACCGACGTCTTTGAATTCGGGGAAGTACTCCGGTGGCTTGATGAACTTGATCGTAGTGGGCGTTTGGCCGTGGGATGAGTGGGTGTTGCCCAACATGCCAGAAATGCCTCCATGGGGCATCATGTGTTGTGTCTGCGCGGTTGTTGCTGCGAGCAGGAGCGGATTGACTTGCGAGCCGCCGTGAGGGCCGAGCTGGGGCTGCGGTGTGTTCGCTCCGGTTCCAAGAGGCGTTGAGACATTGGATGGGATCTCAGATGTGAAAATCGTGGCAGAAGAGGGCGAGACCAGATACTTGGTCTGGATCGTCTGGAGTAGTGACTCCTTGAAGCCTATGTAGATGTTAGCATACGCGTTGTCACAATCAGAACAAGGTCGAAAGTTACCTCGCAGCTTGGATCCGTTGCCACAAACGATGAGCTGTTCCCATAGGTCACTTCTTTTGCCAACCTCGTCAATAGACGATATAGCCCTATGCACGGCATCTGCAATCTTCTCCAATGTACCATCACCATCAGCCATGAATCGCTCGGTACCGACCTCAATCTCGCGTCTTATTGATCCTGTTCGTTTACCGGTAGGACCAGATTCGCCAGTGCCGTTTGCTTCAGTTGCAGAAGCAGGGTCGCCATTCTCCCCGTTCTCTTGTCCTTTTCTGTTCGGGCCTTCGTCCAGGGCGCCCTTCGCATCCGCCATCTCCTGGGTATTGAGGTTCATGTTCTTCAAGGTGTCCAGAAGCGCGTGGTCCTCGTACAAGAATGTGGCCTTCTCCAGTCGGGAATTAGGTAGCCTGACCGGCTTGCTGGCTGTCGGAGCCGGACCACCCTTCTTCTTTGCATTGGCCTTCTCCTGCTTCTCTTTCTCCTTCTTGGCGAGGTACTCAGACATCTTGCCGCCAGCCACAATGCTTGCCACGTCCAAAACACCTTCACTCTCTTCGAGACTAGTGTCTTCACCAACTTCTGTATCTATGCCAGGGCCTCGTGGCACGTTCCCGATCGAGGCTGCTGCAGCTGGGCCAGGTCCAGTCGCACCGGTCGATGCAACTGCCGCTGGGTTTGTGGGGGCGTCCTTTGTGGGGGCATCTCCCGGTCCTGGTAGAGGCGTTCCCGGAGGTAACAGCTCGCAGATCGGCGACCTCTTGAGTTGCTCACACATATCGCGGTTGAGTCCCTTGGATTTCAGTTTAGACAAAAGCCCTTGAGTGAAGGCTTCGCCTCCGCAGCCTTCCAAAGAGATGACCCTGCCCTGTGTGTGCGGGATGAACTCGCTCACAGCAGTGATGTCTGCCTTGTCTTTGCCCACATCGATGACGGTCGCTGTATGTACGCCATATGCCCATGTCGTCGCTAGTGCCGCATCCATCAGCCCGAAAGCTGGCACCTTGAACTTCTCGAAGAAGAACTGGGTGAGTTTCTCGTGCTCGCGTGGGGTCCACGCCGGTTGGGTGATAAGCAGGATCGGTGTATGGAAGGGCGGGTTCAGAGAGTTGTAGGTATGGGTGATGAGGGCAAAGAAGCATGGCCAGTCAACGATTTTGCCTTGTTGAATGGGCCATATCGCGCCTTCCTCTGATACACGGTCTTCTTCCCAAACAACTTCATCGTCGCCTTCGGCGGGCTTCTTCTCTTCCAGCGATTCGTCTTTGGGTTCGCCATTCGTCGCGGCGGGCTGATCCTGCTTTCTCCGAATCTTGTAGGGCTCGAATTCACCCTCCTTCTCGGCAGGGAACATGCGCGATCTCACGCGCAAACGCGCTGGAGTGAAGGACTCGGGAAGGCCCAGCTGCGCGACTGTGGTCTCGGAGCCAGGCGCAATGATCTGATGGGGTTAGCGCTTTTACTCTACACGACGCGGGCACGTGAGACTCACGATAATTTGGTCATCTTTAAAAGGCGGCATCGTGGCGCAATTGGTGAGGTGTATTGACAAGCTCCGGCGCGCGAGTGAGAGCTCCAGGCCTACCGCGGTGGAGTTTCGCGACTTTCGCGCTAATCGATGCACGGGCGCACTTTCACAAGCTGGCCCCCCCACATGCAAGTGTCCCCCAGTACATACCCGCGGTTTTCAACGTGCCCACAGCACGGCACATCATGGGAGTCCTGACTCTACCGCCCTAGATTAGCAACTCTAGAAATTTCTGGAAACACTTGCTCGTGACGGTCCGAATTCGGTACTGATCTCTCTTCGCCCACCATGGCCTCCATGGCAGTTCCAGGAACTGCCACGTCTCGCTCACTCGCGGATGTCTCCAGAGCAGTTGTATATAACACAGCAGAGGCCATATCCGACTCTGTGCTCGGCATGAAACCCGCCGATACTACACCGTCGACCAGCTTTGGTCTCTTAGGGCGTGTCATTCTATCCATTCTCAGTGTACTGCCTACCCTTCTGTACTGGGTTACATATACCCTACCGACATGGCTGTTCACGCTCTTTTCCATGAGCTTGACCTTCACAATGAACTTCACAACTCTGTACGTCGCCGGCCTTCTTCATGGTGCTTAGCTAAACTTCTACAGGATGCTCGTTGTCGTCTTCGTTGTATCTACCGTCAGCTACTTCGTAAGGTATAGATACATGACTATGTACGCACGACTACCGCCTGAGCCGCAGCGTGAAGAACCACAAGTCGAGGTCTTTCCAGACAGTGCCGAGAGCGACTCCAAGAGGGGCTTGTCTAACTACCTTGATGAATTCTTGAGCGCGATCAAAGTGTTCGGTTACTTGGAGCGCCCAGTCTTCCACGAGCTGACCCGCACCATGCAGACTCGCCGGCTGGTAGCTGGCGAGACCATTCTCTTGGAAGAAGAGAAAGGCTTTTGTCTCGTAGTAGATGGCTTAGTCCAGATCTTTGTCAAGTCAAATCGGAATGATTCAGATTCTGATGAGGATGACATGGGCGAGGGATCACCCGGCGACCGCCACCGACAGGGCTACCAGCTTCTTACTGAAGTGAAAAATGGAGCACCAATGTCTTCGCTATTCTCCATTCTCTCTCTATTTACAGAAGATGTCAAGCTGCGTCATGACGAAGATGAAGACCCACGGCCAAGTGTGCCGGGGACACCACAACGAGAAGCAAGACCATCCATGTCGCGAAACAGTAGCTTTGCTTTCGACGATTCGAGACCGCACACTCCACACGAAGTCCCTGAGGCCAAAATACGGCATCGAAGAACATCAACTTTAAACAGTCCAACAGCAGGCGGTCGACTTCAAAGTGTACCGCCCTTGTCGTTGGATTTGGATGGCTTCGGTGACGAGCGTATCAAGCACAGCAAAACTCGAGGATCACCTTCGCGTCCAGCGAAACCCAAGTCTGCCCATCCAGATATTGTCGCGCGCGCAACCGTAGACACAACCATCGCTATCATTCCGGCTACTGCATTTCGTCGATTAACGCGCATATACCCTAAAGCGACGGCGCATATTGTTCAGGTCATCCTCACGCGGCTCCAGAGAGTTACTCTTGCGACCAGCCATGCTTACCTTAGTCTGACGAACGAGGTCCTCCGCACGGAAAAGCTCATGAATAAGTACACTACCTACGATCTTCCAGGGTTCCTACGTGATGCTCCTCTTGAACGACTCAAGGAGAAGTTTGCAAAAGAAACGGAACGTATTGGCTCAGACGAGGGCATGAAGGGGATAGCATTGCACAACCCTGGAGCTGGTCGCCGACGGAGATCTAGTGTCTCGTTGAGAAGAGGAACAGCTGCACAGGCCCGGCTTGCCGCCGTCCGCGGAGCCAACACTAATATAAGTAACCAAGCATTACCCAAGATCACATCACCTGACCAGGGACCGCGCAACGACAGAATCAGCGCAGGTGATCTGTTGACCAACTCGCAGATGGCGCGAGGGACCGGTCGCAGTGGCCGTAGCAGCTTTTCTCAGCCATATCAACATCAACAGGACCGTCGTGACATGCGCACACCATTGGAAGCTAGCAATTTCAACCCTTTCGCGTCTCCCTCGCTACGTCCCAAAACGCTCCACCGCCAAGAATCTATCGATGAAGCTACAGTGTTTAGGGAGTCTATACTGGGGTGCATGTTCAAGGCTATCGGACTCACTAATCCAGAGAATCCCATGCCCAGGCCAACTGCTTCGGTGGAACAATCACCTCAACTTGTCTCCTTCGACGCCAAGAGACAAAAGGCCGTCTTCACGAACGCATTCGGTTTCATCGACCCTTATGCTGGGGGTTTGCGGGACGGAGACACCGAGTCTGTAGCGTCAGCATCAGGAATGTCCAGCATGAGCGCTGCAGGACCACATAACATATTGGAAGAAGTCGTCAACGATGTGGAAATTGTTTTCTTCCCCAAAGATTCCGTACTTGTGGAACAGGGAGAAAGGAACCCCGGCTTATACTACGTGATCGATGGATTCCTGGATGTGAGCGTGCCCATTGAAGATGACGGACCCGAAACCAACGTGCTAGGGACACTTCCGAATGGGCCTGGCTTGACTGAAGATGATCTTTTTGGTTCGTCACCACGCCCAGCAGGATCAGGTACTCCTTCACGAACTGCTGCAGATGGTAGTAAGAGAAAGCGGACAAGGCGCAGTCTGTTCATGACTAAGCCTGGTGGATTAGCTGGCTATCTTGGAGCGGTATCGTCGAACCGATCCTTCGTCGATGTAACAGCTAAGACGGATGTTTACGTGGGCTTCTTGCCCCGCTCAGCCATTGAAAGAATTGTCGAACGGTACCCTGTCGTACTACTCACGATAGCAAAACGTCTAACGACACTCCTCCCACGCTTGATTCAGCATATCGACTTCGCTTTAGAATGGGTTCAAGTAAATGCTGGCCAAGTCATCTACAATCAGGGCGAAGAGAGTGACGCTATCTACATCGTCTTGAATGGACGATTGCGAGCAATCCGCGATGCTGAAAGCAGCGCTGTAAAGGTCATTGGGGAATACGGCCAAGGCGACAGCGTTGGTGAACTCGAAGTACTCACGGAATCCTCTCGACCCGGATCACTACATGCTATTCGAGATACAGAACTTGCAAAGTTCCCGAAGACTCTCTTCAACAGCCTGGCTCTGGAACATCCCGGTATCACCATCAAGATATCAAAGATCATCGCGTCTCGAATGAGAGCTTTAGTTGACGATCCACTGCATGAACAAAGCAAAGAGCGTGGCACAAAAGCCACTCGGGCAAATGTTTCTTCCACCATCAATCTCCGTACTGTTGCTGTTCTTCCGGTGACTGCTGGAATTCCAGTGGTAGACTTTGGAAGTCGCCTAGTAAACGCACTCACACAAATTGGTATGCCACAAGGTGTGGTATCTCTCAATCAAGCTGCCATTCTAAATCACCTCGGAAGGCATGCCTTCAGCCGCATGGGCAAACTTAAACTTTCGCAATACCTTGCCGATTTAGAGGAAAGGTATGGTATGGTCATCTATGTCGCCGATACACCAGTCAAGTCGCCCTGGACTCAGACGTGTATCAACCAAGCGGACTGCATTCTCCTCGTGGGCCTAGCTGAGTCGTCACCAAACATTGGCGAGTACGAGCGGTTCCTTTTGACAACGAAGACGACTGCACGCAAGGAGCTGGTGCTTCTGCATTCGGAAAGGTACTGTCCTTCGGGATTGACGAGAAAGTGGCTGCGCAACCGCCCATGGATCAATGGCAGTCACCATCATATTCATATGTCATTCCGTGCAACCTCAGAACCAGTGCATCACGCCGGAAGACGTTTCGGAAACGCGCTGAAGCAACGTGTACAAGTCATCCAGGCTGAGATCCAGAAGTACACTTCAAGGAAAGTCCGACAGACGCCGCTCTACTCAGCAGACACGCCTTTCAAGGGTGACTTTCATCGCCTTGCACGACGTTTGTGTGGCCGCTCAGTCGGTCTTGTGTTGGGGGGTGGCGGCGCTCGTGGTATATCCCAGATCGGTATCATCCGTGCGCTTGAGGAAGCTGGTATTCCGATCGACATCGTGGGTGGTACATCCATCGGCAGTTTCATAGGTGCGCTCTACGCTTGGGATGCGGATGTCGTTCCCATGTATGGTCGAGCGAAGAAGTTTGCAGGCCGCATGGGTAGCATGTGGAGATTTGCACTCGACCTCACTTATCCTTCTGCTTCATATACTACTGGCCACGAGTTCAACCGCGGTATCTTCAAGACATTTGGTAACTCACAAATGGAAGACTTCTGGCTCGAATTCTACTGCAATACTACCAACATCAGCAAGTCGCGTTCGGAAATCCACACAAGCGGATACGTCTGGCGCTATGTTCGCGCATCAATGTCGCTTGCTGGATTACTTCCTCCGTTATGTGACAACGGTAGTATGCTTTTGGATGGTGGTTACATCGACAACTTGACCGTCACACACATGAAGAGTCTCGGTGCAGATGTCATCTTCGCCGTCGACGTCGGCAGTCTTGATGACAATGCACCGCAGTCTTTCGGCGACTCACTGAGTGGCTTCTGGGCAACGTTCAATCGGTGGAATCCATTCTCTAGCTTACCCAACCCTCCGACTTTGTCGGAAATTCAGTCGCGCCTCGCGTATGTGTCTAGTATCGATGCGCTGGAACGTGCGAAGAACACACCGGGATGCAGGTATATGCGTCCGCCAATTGATCCGTACGGCACGCTTGACTTTGCGAAGTTTGAAGAGATCTACGAGGTTGGGTACAAATACGGTAAGCCAAGATGCAGCGCTGGGCATCGCATGTGAAAATATTTGCTAACGCGATGCACAGGCAAAGAATATCTAGCGCAACTTCGCGAACAAGGCGTGCTCCCCGTCACCGAAGAGACGGAGAAAGAGAAGAATCTCCGACGGACAATGGCACCGCGACGGGCAAGCATTTAGTCGAGTTGAACCGTGCCCAGAACACGCGGAGGAGAAGGTGGTGCGGGTTATGTGGATATCAAGTAACAGAATGCAGCGGTGGTCGGTGTACTTTTGCCCAATGAGTGCTAGGAATGCGTGTGGATGCAAGGTCGGTCGGCTTGGGGTTTAGTGGCACGCGTCCGTTAGCTCGGCAAGGGTCAGCTTATCACCAATGTCGCGGATAATGACGGGTTAGAGTGTGTAGATAGCAATGAATGAGGGCTGTCAAGGCTGTGAATAGAGGGTCTTGAGGTTTTGTGATCCCTTTTTCTTTTGTCGCTTGCAAGTCCTCACTCCTACACTTTCTCGGGTGTGAGTGTATTGAACGCGTCTTCCCCGCCATCGTCACCACCATTACAGTGGCGAGCTTCCCGAACTTCTAAACAATCGGGCCAATTGCTCGCACAGGATCCGCCCAACAGAAAACAAATCCTTCTGTTCAAAATTAATTGCTTCCCGGGGAGACTCCCCATAGTCTTACTACAACCACACAGCCAGAATGCGTACAGCATGTCTCAGGGCAGCTAGCGCTGCTAGCAGGCTCACACGATCAACGTGTGTAGCCCAGCTATCGCGTCCGCAGCTCGCTGGTAGCTCTCCACGCGCAATCGCATACCAAACCCTGCAAACCTACCAAAAGCGCGGGTTCCAGCAAAACGCTACAAATGCGCAACAGGCGGCCGCAGCCGTCGAAGCCGCAGAGGATGTCTTCGACACCCCGCCCCAGCAGACCGGTTCGGCCAAACCCTTCGATGCGCTCGACACATTTCCCCGCCGTCATATTGGACCGTCTGCCGAATCAGCGGAGGCTATGCTCAAGGCGCTGGATCCGCCCGCGAGCAGCCTAGACGAGTTTGTACGCCAGGTTATACCCGCCGATATCTTGTCTGCGCGCGAGTTGAAGATTGGGAAGCTGTCAGAGAATCAGCAGGAGGCATGGCAGAGCAATGGTGTGCCAGAGTCCGCCTTCCTCAACAGCGCGAAGGAGATTTTGGCTCAGAACAGGCCCGGCAAGAGCCTGATCGGACAGGGATACTATGGCACCAAGGTACCTGAGGTCATCAAGAGGAATGTGTTGGAGAACCCTGCATGGTACACCAGCTATACCCCATACCAGCCAGAGATCAGCCAGGGACGTTTGGAGTCGCTACTGAACTTCCAGACAATGGTGTCAGACCTGACTGGTCTGAGCATTGCCAATGCGTCAGTGCTGGATGAGCCTACTGCGGCGGCCGAGGCCATGACAATGTCCATGGGCATGATGCCATTGTCCAAACAGAAGAGCAAGAACAAGACTTTCCTTGTATCAGAGAGGTGTCATCCCCAGACTCTCGCCGTTCTATACTCTCGTGCTGAGGGCTTTGGTATCAAGATTGAGGTCACAGATGTGCTCAAGGACAACAGCAAGAGGGTGGAGGAGCTAGGCCAAGATCTCGTTGGTGTGCTCGCCCAGTACCCGGACACTGAGGGAGGTGTCAGCGACTTCCGTGGACTCGCCGAGAAAGTGCACAAGACTGGTGCCCTCTTCAGTGTCGCGACCGATCTCCTCGCCCTCACACTGCTTACTCCACCGGGAGAGTTCGGTGCTGATATCGCTTTCGGAAACGCACAACGATTCGGTGTCCCTCTGGGCTTTGGTGGACCACACGCGGCTTTCTTCGCTTGTGACGAGAAGTACAAGCGCAAGATTCCTGGTCGTCTGATCGGTTTGTCAAAGGATAGGCTCGGCAACCCTGCGGCACGACTTGCGTTGCAAACCCGTGAGCAACACATCCGCCGTGAAAAGGCTACCAGCAACATTTGCACAGCACAGGCACTACTGGCAAACATGAGCGCCATGTACGCTGTGTACCATGGACCGAATGGTTTGACAGCGATCGCCAAGCAGGTAGTTGCAAAGGCTCGCATGCTCCAACAAGCCATCGTCGCCACTGGTTTCAAAACTGGCCAGCGCGGACAAATGGACAACGCACCTGTTTTGTTCGACACATTCGTTGTCAAGACAGGCGCAAAGACCGAAAAAATCATCATAAGTCTCGAGAGCAAGGGAGTACTTGTACGAAGGATCGATGACCAGCACATCGGCATTTCCGTTGACGAAACTACGTCTGCACACATTATCGGCACAACAATTAACATTTTCAAGCACCATGGCATGCGAGCTGATGTGTCTTTTGATGAATCTGTCGATATTGAGGTTCCTGAGCCGTTCAAGAGAACTAGCGAATTCATGACCCACCCTGTTTTCAACTCGCATCACTCCGAGACCGAGCTTCTTCGCTACATCAACCATCTGTCTTCGAAGGATCTGTCTCTAGTACACTCGATGATTCCTCTTGGATCCTGCACAATGAAGCTCAATTCCACCGCGGAGATGGCGCCTGTGTCATTTGACACCGTTTCCAACCTACATCCCTTCTTACCTCTAGAGCGAGCCAAGGGATACACCGACATGATCAAGCAGCTAGAAGACGACTTGGCTGACATCACCGGTTTCCACTCGGTCTCGCTACAGCCCAACTCCGGTGCCCAGGGCGAGTTCACCGGTCTTCGCGTCATTCGCAAGTACCTCGAACAGCAGCCTGGCAAGAAGCGTGATATTTGCTTGATTCCTGTCTCGGCGCACGGAACCAACCCTGCTAGTGCTGCCATGTGTGGTATGCGCGTTGTGCCCATCAAGTGCGACCAAGCGACCGGCAACCTGGATATGGCAGACTTGAAGGCCAAATGCGAGAAGCACAGCGAAGAGCTTGGTGCCTTCATGGTCACATACCCTAGTACTTTCGGTGTCTTTGAGCCCAATGTCAAGGCTGCTTGCGACCTGATCCACCAGCATGGCGGCCAAGTCTACATGGATGGTGCCAACATGAACGCCCAGATTGGTCTCTGCTCACCAGGCGAGATCGGTGCTGATGTCTGCCATCTCAACCTTCACAAGACCTTCTGTATTCCCCACGGTGGTGGTGGACCCGGCGTAGGTCCCATTGGTGTCAAGGAGCATCTCTCGCCCTTCCTTCCCGGCCATCTCCGTGGCGAGACTGGTGGCGCTGAAGCTATTCACCCCGTCAGCGGTGCACCCTGGGGAAGCGCCAGTATCCTCCCTATCAGCTGGGCCTACATTAAGATGATGGGTGCCGTCGGCCTCACCCAAGCCACCAAGATTACTCTTCTAAACGCCAATTACATCCTCTCCCGCCTCAAGCCCCACTACCCTATCCTTTACACCAACGATGAAGGCCGCTGCGCTCACGAGTTCATCCTCGACGTTCGCGGTTTCAAGGAAAGCGCCGGCATCGAAGCTATTGACATCGCCAAGCGCCTCCAGGACTACGGTTTCCATGCCCCCACCATGAGCTGGCCCGTCGCCAACACTCTCATGATTGAGCCTACCGAGTCGGAGAGCAAGGCGGAGCTAGACCGTTTCTGCGACGCGTTGATTAGCATCAGGAAGGAGATCAAGGAGGTTGAGGAGGGTCAACAACCCAAGGAGGGCAATGTGCTCAAGATGAGCCCGCACACACAGCAAGATCTTATCACTGGAGAGTGGGATAGGAGTTATAGCCGCGAGAAGGCGGCGTATCCTTTGTCCTACTTGAAGGCGAAGAAGTTCTGGCCTAGCGTTGCGAGGTTGGATGATGGTAAGTCTAAATTCATGATTTCTATGTTCAGGTACATCAACTAACGATATGAAAGCATACGGCGACACAAACCTCTTCTGCACATGTGCGCCTGTTGAGGGCGAGGACAGCGACATCACCGGTGCCGCGGCACCTACCCCTACCTAAATGCCTGCAACAACACGGCAAACAGTAGCAGGGTACTTCTTTTCTCAGGTTTTTCTTTTGCATCAGGGTGTGGGGCTCTTTTAGGAGCTTTTCTTCAACAAGCACCCTAGCGTGGGTGTTCCGGCGTCTACACTACATCACCATGGGTTCAACACTTGCTGGTCGATGGATCTTTTGCTTTTCGATATGATTGGGCGGTTTATGATGCATATGTGGCGTTTCTAGGCATAGATGGATGATGTGATATGATAGGGATGGGAATAAGATGATGTGTTCATGATGCAACAAAGTGTATTGAAACAATTGCTGTGATGTGTGCGATATGCTGCGAGGTATCGCAAACGGTTTCGGCAACTTTCAGAGGCGCATGCGGTCTCGGTAGACGACGGGTAATACTGACGCTAGCTTGACTGCGTATGTATAAGTGTCCTCGTCAAGCTGTTCAACTGCTTCTCTAGCACATCCTCCATTTTCATATACCTTTAAAACAGACCAGGATGTGGGCCATGGTCTGACCAAAAAGCTAACCAAAGAATTACTATGGCTGCTCGGGCTCCACGTCTTGTCGAAAACACGTAGACTGAGCTGGCTGAATATGACTCTTTCTCTTCTTCTTCTTCTCCCGAAAACAGCTTGCAATTGATATCATTGTGTCTTCTTCCGCCTGTTCCCGATACCTCCAGATCAGGTACCCATATGTTCCATGTGCTTCGCCGACTCAAGACAAAATGACAAATCTACGATGGCTATTCTGTCTCTGTCACCTTCTGCTGTTCTCACAAGAGTAAAGCAAAGACAATACGACTTCACATTCATTTGTTACTCGGAATGCAAAACTGGAACGACACTTCACATGCGCTCTGCTGGTAGAATCCGCCACATGTGAACAGCAAAGCTGTTCGTTCTCTCATCCTCCAGAAACAATCCTGCATCCAAGCCATGTTCCCGATGTTTCGAAGGTCAACCTTCTAACATGTGTGGGTGCCGACGGGCTGCGAAAGTACAAGTGAAACGCTTGTGACTATCAAGAAGTGCTGTCTTCTGGAGAACCAAACTTACAAAACGAGAAAGTAAACATGCATGTCGGCAACAGCATTGTGGAGAAGAGCATGTTCCAGCGCCGCTATGAGCCATATAAGTGTCCCATGGATATGCGGATATGGAAAATGACGGCAACATGTTGATCCAGACTTTAAAAAATATACCAGATGACGGTACAGCGTTTACCTCTTTCTGTATGTAGCTCAATTTCCGTCCAGTGTACGAAGCCAGGTTGCGAAAGACAGTATAAAGTCATCGTTGTATACGCGCTCTCTCTCTTCCCTCATAACTTACCTCTTACACAAGTTGTCCAAAACGTATTGGATGACCAAGGAAATGAACCACCAAAAGTAATCGACGGTATTTGCGATGGGTGCGGCATCGCGCGCCGTCTCAAAAAGACCTGTGCGAATGGTTCATATGTCCTTGCTCCCACTCTGTTACTCAGACTCTGTTAGGAAATTCCATAGCGATTTGAATCAAGAAATTTCAACGCTCAAAGATTGAATCCAGAACGGGAAGGTGGATAGAACTATTTCTCAGAACAGTTAGAATGCGGCGCGGATAGAGCCGCGGTCGACATTGCCTCCATGGACCTCAAACTAGAGAATTTATCTCTCACCCTCTATCATTCGGCCACGAGTGGACTGTTCAGTTACGTTCGCTTGCTCTACACAGTACTAGAACTTACCGAAATAAGATTGACACTACCCATTCAAGGGCTTGTTCTGTGCCACTACTGAATACATTGTTTCAGCGCATTGTAGACTGACCTTCATCACACCAACATCGTCTTCGACCGTTCGTCGCACCCACATGGCAACCTTTCACCCCTTTCCCCGTCTACCATACGAGCTGCGGATGCAAATATGGGAAGCGACAGTCGAGCCTCGCGTGGTAAACTTTGAGTTCATCTATCAGCGCAGGTGGAGAATACCTGCCGAGCGACCGACTTACATCAAATCTTCCACACCTGTACCCGCCGTGCTTCAGACCTGCCAAGAAGCACGAAATCATGGGTTGTACCAGAAATGTTTCTCGGAGATTGCTATACCGGGGCACGGCGCGCAGTAGGTATTCATTATGTACTCTGATATGCTTCCCATGCTAAAGCGCTATGCAAAAATGCAGGTACGTGTGGGTTAATCTCGGCATGGATACCATCGACATCGGAGAGTCCATGTTTGAAAGTTTCAAGCCGGTCGCTCCGCTCATTCACCGACTGAAGTTTGCACGTGAAATGCAGTCAGAGTTCTTCTACCATTCGGAAGTTCGAGAGGTCCAGGATTTTGTCAATGCGAAGGAAATTTGGATCGTGCCTCTAGACGGCCTGAATTCATGTGTTGGAGCCACGGAGGAACATTATTGGCCATGTGGGAAAGACAATGTTTTCTATATTGATCCTGATAATCCTGAACGAGTTTTCGTAGGAAGTGATGGAGAAGATGAGATTGACACGCTCTATGGGCCAGTGGAACTGTATCAGTAGGCATGTGTGCAGCGTCTTTTCCTTGTTCAGTGCATGCTAGAGATGGGACGTCACCATAGAAATGTACACTAATTTTACTTCTCTATACCATCATGACGCGTCTCGACATGCTGCTTCCCTCCCCAAATAACCACCATGAAGCATTAGTAATCTCTCAGTAACAGTCACTCTTTCTGGACTTTTTGACTGCATTGCGATCGACCCTCGGATCTAGCGCATTCATCAGGCCACTCTTGTGAGGATTCGTGGTCGACTTAGGCTCTTTCTTCATTGTCTTGGGTCCAACAATGGGGGCAGAGGGATCGACTCTTGCTTCTAGAGGCCGTAGTATATCAGCCACCCTTCCGCTTGCTATCTGACATGACACCAATAGCTGCAAGCTACTTCAGCCTTTGGAACGAGAACTTACTGCTTCTTCGGCGTGACTGGCGAAGTAGCTCATCGTCTGACTCGGGCGAATATCTTCCCAATTCTGACTGCGATGGATTCTCGTAGCGTGTATCGCATTGGGACATAGGCTCTGTAGTAGCGCGGTCTGGCTGATGGTATTGCTGCGAGTCAGCATCCCGCTCGAGCATGTTCAGGATGCTGCTTTGGTGTATGGGTTTTGGTTGATGGTATGATGGGTCGGGTTGGCTATAGCCGGGGCCACGAGCGGACGGTTCGTCTGTGAGATGGGCTGTCGCTTCTTCAGGAGGGTCAAACTTCTGAGCAGCTTCAAGACCGGATGCGCGACTGATCGAGCCGCGGAGATGGTGGATGTTGGGGTGGTCAGCGTACTTCATCGATTCTTCATCGGGCCCAGCAACGAATACGGGATCGAGTTTGTTTGCAGCCTCTAACCCGGATGAACCGCCGATCGAGCCTCGGTGCTCATGGGGAGGATTTCCCCCATGTTGATGTTCGTGTGGCGGGTGCCAGGCCTCGTCGAACCCTTTCGAGGGCTGCCATCCAAAGTCTTTCTCGGCTATACTTCATCAGCCCCGTATCGGATAGCATATTGTACGGGAAAGTATTATGAAGTATACGTGGTATGCGTAGTCTAGAATGTTGACTCTCACCTGTACCATCAGTCTGCGTCGTGGGAAGCGAAGAGCGAAGAAGAGCTGACATGTCAGCGAGAGCAACAAAATGAAGGAATCGGTACGAGGAAAAGGGTATATTAATGTTAAAATGCGCAGTGGATCGCCTATCTACGTGTCTCGTAGCCCGTACCGCCAACGTTCGATGTAGGATCAGCGCGATGGTCAACATCCGAGTCGAAGCGCGGGTCAAGCTTGTTACCAACGTTGGTCGAGTGCGGTCCAGCATTTGTTGAGCCGGTCGCAGTTCCCCTGTGGTCCATGTCCGAGTCGTACCTGGGGTCGACCTTGTTGCCAATGTTTGAGTTGTGCGAGCCGTAGTTTGTGGCTGTGGTGTTGGTTGTGTTCATGCGTTCGCGGTGGGCATCAGTGTCGGCAGGAGTAACACCAGCGTCGGCAGGGTGGCCTCGGTAGCCTCGATCCCACTCGTCGACTCCCTTGTTGGCGATCTCCTGGTTCTTGGTTGCGCTCGCCTTGTCGCCGCTCGCGTCATCGACTATAGCCATAGCGTTGCCGCGGATGGCCTCGCCAGTTCCCTATGAATGTTAGTACGATTTCATGTCAAGATAGTCCGAGGAACGGCTTGTGCAAACTTACGTGGACCATACCCACGCCTTTGCGGATAGAGTCGCCAAGAGTCATGTTGGAGGTATATGTATTAGATGTATGTGTAGGTGATAACCAAGAGCTCGTATAGCTGTAGGGGTATGCGTAGAAGTTGGGGTATCAGGGTATAATGTGATTACAGTAATGAGCAGAAAGATGGGAAAGGTCCGAACATAAGTGCTCGACGCTGGCAGTCGCTACCACACAACCTGCTTTTGCGATTGACATGATTTCGCGAAGTTTGGGAAAGCGCATTGCGACATAGGCTCGAAGATGTGATGTCATGCTCCGCGTGCAGGATTCGCGGACGATGCCGGTAGGGCTGAGCTAGCCACATCAGGGCCTTTGCTTGTCGAGCATATTCCGTTAGGATGCACTTTTACGGTGACATGACATCGATGCTCACTTTCACATGAGCATGTAGATTAGATTTTCAACACCTTCTGTTAAATGATAGTACCTATATCAAGGAGTCAATTATCACTATATCCTGTATACTGCATCAATCTGCCCACGCTGTAACATACTGTATCCAAGCACCTTGAGCATAAAAGTCTTCAAACCTCCGATTCAATCACACCATGCGGTCTTACTACAACCAAGTTGCATCGAGGCAATCATCAATCACTATCTATCACTCTATACGTGTTTTCGAAATACTTTTTACATTATATTCATCAGAATGTAACATCTGACGTCTCCATTTTGCGGTAGAAGATTGTATAACAAGGCGCATCAAGGTTTTAACCACATAGTAAAAGGAACTGCAGCGAGAAAGCTGAAAGGTGACGGGGAGTTTGTGTTCTCCTGAGAAGGCAGTTGTAATTATCATCAACACCTATGTCTAAATTTACAATTTGCATGTCATCAAAGTCGTGATCGCGACGCGTCCGAGCCGTGGCCGGGTCGCCGCCCTCCTCTCACGCCCATTCGCCAACGCCTTTTCTCTATTAACCGATTTCATCTCTGCTTCGGAATGTTGAGAAGCTTTTTAGGCCTTGCCAGCAGTGTAGAAGTCGTCGAGAGCAACCTTGAGCCTCTGACTCATGCTTTTTTCACCTTCGCGTACCCACACTCGAGGGTCGTAGAACTTTACCAAGTTAGCTATAATTAATTTACTAATAGAAGTAGTAATCGCGTACCTTCTTGTTGGGCTTGTCCTCGCCGTCTGGGTTACCAACTTGAGTGAGGAGGTAGTCCTTCTTGTTGAGGACGTAGTCGCGAACACCCGACAAGTAGGCCCATTGCATATCGGTGTCGAGGTTGACCTTGACGACACCGTATGAGATCGCCTGACGGAAGTCGTCGACAGAGCTGCCGCTGCCACCGTGGAATACGAGGAAGACGGGCTTGTCGTCCTTGCTCTTGACTTGCTCCTTGACGAACTGCTGGTGCTTCTGGAGCAATTCAGGGCGGAGCTTGACGTTACCAGGCTTGTAAACACCGTGGACGTTACCGAAGCCAGCGGCGATCGAGAAGTACTGGGAGACCTCGCTCAAGGTCTTGTAGATGTCAAAGATATCTTCAGGCTGGGTGTCTGATTGTGGGTGTACGAAGTTAGTGTATGTCTCACTGGCAGTTCGTACAGGCACACTTACAGAGCGAGTTGTTGTCAACATCCTCGTTGTTGACACCATCCTCTTCACCGCCAGTGATTCCAATCTCCATCTCCAAGAATTGCTTCATGGGAGCAGCGCGCTGGAGGTACTTCTTGGTGGTCTCAATGTTCTCTTCCTTGCTCTCCTCTGAGAGGTCAATCATGTGGGAGCTGAACAGCGGTACGCCATTTGCCTTGAAGAACTTCTCGTCCTCGTCGAGCATGCCGTCCAACCAGGGCAGAAGCTTCTTGGCGCAGTGGTCGGTGTGCTGCAGATTTGAAAATACAATGTCAGTGGATGTCTCACATGCATTTCGTATAGGCACAACTCACGAGAACAACGGGGATACCGTATGCGGGCGCAATTGCGCGGATGTAGTGAGCACCGGCGATGGCTCCCTGGATGGAAGCGCTCTGGTCCTTGTTGTCGACGCCCTTTCCGGCGAAGTATGCGGCACCACCCTGGCTCATTTGCTAGGAAGACGGGTTAGCCTTGTGCGCGACCACGGTCCGATGGCAGCTCAACATACGAGGATGATGGGGGACTTGGCATCGCGGGCAGCCTCGAGGGATGCGACGACGGTGGAGGAGGAAGTCACGTTGATCGCGGGGATGGCGTATCCCTCGGATTGTGCGTGCTTGAAGAGGTTGTAGACCTGGAGTATGTCAACTGCTTGTTCGAGGCAAAAGCGAGAATCGATTCGCATACATCGTCACCGTAGATGACACCAGTCCTGAGGTAATGGTTGTTAGCTTCAGCTCATGATCATGCGAGCGGGGTCCATGTAACCTACTTTCCCTTGAGGACCTCGGAAGCTTGAACCATGTTTGCGATTGTAATTGGTGTTTATTGGGGTATGGGTATGTGTTGGATTGTAGAATTCAGCAATTGGGATTGTGAAGAGGTGTAGGTGTGGTATGAAGAGAGAACTTTGCGCAGGTGTTGAGGCTGTCTAGTTAAAGTTCAAACATGGTAGTGGGGTTGGCGGACCACAAAAAACAACCCCGCTAATGACCGCAGCAGTGACGCAGCTGCTGGTTTCGCGCCAGCTTCCCTCACCAGGCCTACCCACGGCGCATGGTAAAAGCAATTCAAACCCCACGAATTTTTCCATTTGCGAGATATGATACGTTGACTGTCGAATTTTCTCATTCCTGCGTATCGCACAATGGCCTCACTCAATCATTTGGCTCCCATCCGTGGGAGGGCGCATTCCATCATGCTCGGTTGGTCTGATACACGATGATGCTTCACGGCCGCGCTCTGAAGTCATGGCGGGGCCGCTTTCGCTCGGCAGCGCGGAAGTAAAGTGGACTGTCTTTTCACCTTAGCTCGGTGAAGCATCATTGCAATCCACAGGTGACATGTTGTCCGAGTCTCGCCGCAAAACGCTATCTCGCCTTACGCCTCGAATTACCGAGCCAGCCACTCCTTCCATGTTACTCAGCTCCGTCTAGAGCATGCAAGGTCCCACCAATGAAGTCACTCTGATGATGCGGGACAAGACATATGCGCCATATCGTGATCATAATTGAGGTGTTGTTGAATTTTTCCGATATGCGGAAATGCAAATGACATGGATGGCACAGGTATATCTTTACAGCGAGGCGGAGGAATCCTCGGAAGGTGAGGTTCTGGGCCTCTCCAGATGTCCGGAAGTTGGGGTCTACGATATGTTGCGGCCAGTTAACCAAGTCTCATGATTCCGATCCCTTCGCTCTGATCCGGATATTCCTCACAATAGGTTCCTCTACGCCGGATAACCGTATCTCGGCCTTGAATATGCCCAGCTGCTTGACACGCGATGTGTCGCCCTCCTCGTGCCCTGAGAGGAACTTGACGTCTGCCTCATTCAGTATCACGCGGGCCGCCTCGTCGTTGTGCGCCAGCGCTCCCTTTATAGTGGCCACAAGATCGGTGCTTGAGACAGAGCCGTAGATAGCATCTGCAGACGCCTTCTTGCTCATCGCCGCTGCAGTCAAAATGTCTGCTGCACCAGACGCACCCATGCGCCCGCTCGATGGGCTGTCTTGCTCGATTCGCTGGCGGTAAAAGTCGATCGTGGGTGGTACAAATGCATCGAGGAGCTCCATGGATCGCTCAGGCTGTTCTTGTCAGTATTGGTGGTTACAACGACTAGATATAGGACATACGCTGAGCACATCGATTTCAATCGGCCGTACATAGTGCTTCGGCTGCTTCATGAAATCGACCTCCTCTTCCTCCGCCTCCTCCAGGTTCAGTCGTACGCCATATGAGAAATCGCGGCCCATGTCCACATCCTGCGCCTTGAGCTGCTTCATCTGGGTAGCGGGAACATAGTCGGCGACGCGTGCGGGGAACCATCGGTTACGCATGAGAGAAGGGTTGAGCGGGACATATGAGCCTTTGTAGTATTAGCCATGTCGAACTGGTGTTTGTTGTGACCACTTTGACAGCTTCAAGGAACTTGCAGAGGGCACATGTTAAACTTCTGCCGTAGATGCATCGTACCTGCGCGACCAAATCTTGGCACATCCTTTAGTAGCTTCACGACAATGTTGCGCTCTGCCTCTTTCGCCTTCTTTGAGATGTTGCGGGTCTGCTGCGACGCCGAACCCCCCAAATTTTGCCGCGTCACCCTCCGTATACACGACGTACACTGCGGGAGCAGCGTCGAGGTTCTTAGCGAAGCCATTGGGCGTGTCGTGGTGAGGCGTGCTTAATTTCAGGAAAAGTGCAAGACGTCCATCAGATGTGGAGATCCTTGCGACGGAGGGCGGAAGGTGCCAATGGCCGGTGCTACTTGCCGTAGGCTCGGCATACTTTGCGCCCGCCTCACGAGCAAACGACAGATGACGGCCAGCGCGATATCCCAAGCTGGGCAGCAGTCAGACCATGGCTGATGCGGTAGTCAGCCATACTCTACGCCCTATCCATAGCATTTTCGCAGCACAACCTTAGCACGACCGAGCACAGCGTCCGCGATACCGTACACGACCCCAGATCCTCCATCCAATCCCGCAGTAGCGGGAGTGACAGGCGCCGCAAGATGCCTGAGAAGCCCCTCACAATTGCAACCTACGCCGCAGGAGCCTCCCTCGCCGCCATTACCCTGGTCTATGTCTTTGGCCCGACGTACTTTCTCGACGACGATGCAAATGCAGCTAGCAGTAAGAAGAAGGGCGTAGTGGGTCTCAGCAATGCGGCCAACGACTGCTTCATCAATTCTGTGCTGCAGGCGCTTGCCGGCCTGCCAGACCTGCGCATATATCTCATACGAGAAACGCACAGGCGCATGCTCGATGGACCAGAAGTTTATGATGTGGACCCTGAAAGGTTGAATGCCGAGACAGGGACCGCAAGGCCCGCAAAGCTACAGGGCCTGCAGAGAGGCATTCTGACCCATGGACTGAAGGACATCCTCGACAAGCTTAACGAGCGGCCCATATACAAGAAGACCATCTCTCCGCAACCTTTTATTCGGTCGCTCGAGCATGCATTCGGAACCCGGATCAGCCGGCAACAGCAGGATGCGCAGGAATTTCTCCAGATAGTCACTGAGCGCCTGTGCGACGAGTATCACGCTGGCGGAAAGGCTAGGCGACAGGCTACACGGTCAGGCATCACCATCACAACTGGGGACGGCGCATCAGAAAGGAGAGAGGTCGAGCAACAGTTCGGCGCGGCACCGCCTGAAGGTTCTGGTAGTGACGGTGTCGAGGAAGAGCTGGGAGAGGACGAAGCACCTGCAGATGAGGAAGGCTTTCCGTTCGAGGGCAAAATCGAATCGCAGATTGAGTGCGAGACATGTCACTTCAAGCCGAAGCCTACCGTGTCGACATTTGTCACCCTGACCCTGAACGTACCGCAAGCCTCTTCCACCTCACTCAACGCCTGTCTTGACGGAATGCTCAAGGTTGAATACATCGACGATTTCAAATGCGAGCGCTGTCGGCTAGAGCATGCGCTCAGGAGCAAAGATCATCAGCTTTCGCGAACCATCGACCCAGATGCACAATCGCTTTTACAATCAGACATCGCCAAGATCCGACAAGCGTTGGAGGAAGACCCTGAACAGCCGCCTGAAGGTGTCGAGCTTCCGGATACCAGCCAGGCACCCAAGCGTCGCATATCGCGTCACATGTACATCTCGCAGTTCCCCAAGGTTCTTGCGATACATCTGTCGCGATCAACGTTCGCCATCGGTGCTGCCTCGACGAAGAATATGGCCAAGGTGGCCTTCCCTGAAGCTTTGCCTCTGGGTGGACTATTAAGTCGCAAAAACTACCGCCTTCTTGGAATGGTCACACACAAGGGCAGTCACAACAGCGGTCACTATGAATCCTTCCGCCGTCAAGTGCAGCCTCTCCCATTCTCCACAAATGCGACGCTTGGTACTGAAGGCGCGTACAGTCGCCAAGCCAGTCCATACCCGTCCGCAGCACCGTCAATAGCACCTTCAGCTATGCACAGCCCACGGATCTCAGCACTTAATCTTCCCAATACCGTCGACCGCAGCTCACCAGTCCCATCCACACCTACACTGAACTCTCCTTCGACACGGTCGCTATCTTCTCAAGATACCATACCTTCTTCATCAAGAGGACCAGCGCCGACTTCCGCGCCGCGGATGCATGACTCCGACCCATTGCAAACGATACCATCCTCTACCGAGACAGGAACCGGTAGCGATTCTTTGTCACGTACGAGGAGTATCCGGTCGCTAAAGGAGCGCGCGTCAGAGAAAGCGTCATCGATAAAAGAGTCAAACCCTCTGCGACGAAAGTCGAAGAAGACAAGCAACAGGTGGTGGCGTATAAGCGACGATAAGATCAAGGAGAGCAAGACATCCGAAGTCTTGAACATGCAGAAGGATGTATACTTGTTGTTTTATGAGCTGAACAAGGTTTGATCCCAGAATAGATAGCTATTGTACAGACAGTGACAGATATGTGACTGCATCTCAAAGATATCAATGGTGACGGTGTAGTGGAAACGTCTGGGGTAAATATCACTCGATTTTAAAGCGAGACACGAATGAAAGATGTGAAGCGTGATGCAACTGAAACAATGAAAGTGATCGATAAACCTTTACTCTCAGTATTTCTAGGACTACCTACGATGCTCATGCGCCGCGAGTACTACGTCGCTGGAGTGGCTTTATCAGCAATGATCTCATTGGCCAACAATACACGTGGCGTTCTTCACCCAACGATAACTACCAATCGCGATGATGCCTAGCCTGCAATGCAACAACATCAATGCTACGCTCGTAATAAAACCTCACTTTCCCCTCACTTGTGTTGTCCGGTCACCAAAAAGAGCAACTGCCGCGCGGATCTGGTAGTCGTCCGGTCACTCGCATCGTCTAACACGTATCGCGTTACAACGGGTAGAAGGAAGTTGGCAAACAGATAAGATACGAGTACGATTGTTTTGGGTCCGACATTGGTTGCAAAATATTAGGCCCACCTGAACCATATCAATAGCTGGAGAGATATCAGCCATAGCGATCAGTTCATACCCTGTATTCATTACTAGTACTTTCCAAACCGACATCTCCTCTCTTCAACACAGCTTTTGTCAAAACACCAGCACCATGCCAAGCCTCGAAGCAGACGAGACAGCTTTTCTCCAGGCTGTGGGAAAGCAGACCTTCACGAACCCGCCTCGCGTCCTTATCATCGGGGCAGGAAGTCGTGGCACTGCCTACGCTGAAGCCGCGCTTTCTTCAACGAATTCTATCATCGCGGCTGTATGCGAGCCCAGTGACTACAAACGCGGTGAATTTGGTCGCAGATTCATCTGGGGCAGTGGGAATGAAGCCACTGGCAACCAAGCATTCCGTAGTTGGAAAGACTGGAAGGAGTATGAGGTGAAGAGAAGAGAGCAAGAAAAAGCTGGTCACAGCGTAGACAAAGGCGTCAACGCAGTGTTCGTCTGTGTACTCGATGAGTTGCATGAGGAGGTTATCTGTGGTATCGCTGACATGGGCGTACACATCTCGTGTGAGAAACCAATGAGTACGAGATTGGATAGTTGCATGAGGATGTACAGAGCACTCAGGGCCCCTGACGGCGAAAGCAAAGCCAAGGAAACGATCTTCGGCATCTGCCACGTATTGCGCTATTCGCCGCATAATATGTTACTGAGACATCTGGTGCTTGAGAAGGACGTTATTGGGGATGTGTTGAGTATCGAACATGTTGAGCCGGTCGGTTGGTGGCATTTCTCACATAGCTATGTAAGGTATGATCAACCTGACCACTCCTTCTAAAGTCTAGTACTAACAAGAACAGGGGAAACTGGAGGAAGGAGTCAAAGACTGCACCATCTTTGCTTACAAAGTCATGCCACGATATCGATTTCCTCATGTGGATGCTCTGCTCGCCTGGCCCGAACGCGGATTACGCGACACCTCACCTTCCTTCATTAATCACCTCTACAGGGTCTCGCAACTTCTTCCGCAGGGAGCGCAAACCGAAGACAGCTGGGTCAGCTACAAACTGTCTTTCCTGCGCGCACGAGTCTGGATGCGACTACAGTGCGAAGAAGATTTATCTTGAGAGGCATCTGAACAACGGCAACGCGGATTGGCCAGTGAAGATTGTGAATCCAGAGATCGAAGATATCTATAAGACTATGGGAAAAGAAGCAGCTGGAAAGCAGCTTCTCAAAGATCTGGCTGAAGACTACAGCGTCGACGCTCCAACCAGCGAAGTAGAACAACGCCCATGGTTTGGGCGATGTGTCTGGGAGTCCGATAATGATGTCTGTGATGACCAGATGGTCACTATCACCTGGGACGATGACCCAATCGTGAAGGACGATGACGGCCTACCTTTGGTATACGGTCGCGGCGCAAAGAAAGCGCAATTCCACATGATCGCTTTTACTGAGAAGCAATGCGAACGGCGAGGTCGTATCTACGGTACCAAAGGCGAGATTGAGTACGATAGCACCAACATCAAAGTTCACAACTTCTCGACAGGGCAAACCAAAACCCATAGTCCCCATCTTGCAGGCGGTGGTCACGGCGGTGGTGACGAGGGACTTGCGCGACAATTCCTGATGGCGGTCAACGCTGTCGACTCTGGCGCCATGTCCGCGTCAGATGCTCAGCGACAGTACCTCGGATGCAACCTTGAGGAGGCGTTCCGCAGCCATGCCATGGTTTTCGCGGCCGAAGACGCTCGAACGAAGCGCCAAGTGGTCGACTGGAAGAAGTGGTGGGCCGAGTCGGTGGAGTCTCAATTACACCAGCGGTAACGTGGCATGCGTAAGTGATGATGACAGTTCAGGCCAGCAAGGAGAGCACGGAGGGTAGTTTCTATCGGTTGCCGAAATGTGCGGCAATGTACAAGGGCGCCTAGATCAAAGCATGACATCGGATGAGGCTCTTGCGAAGCTTGTGAAACCGAGATGAAGGCTGCCAAACCTCGCGCCAATCCGCTGTCAGCGCTCGATGAAGCAATTCTAGCCCCAGGCACGTTTGACAGTTAATCTCCGTATTCAGGCAATTAACGGCCTTTTCGCAGCCGGTTTCGTCCCGTCTGGGCTATATTTGGTGACCGTGCCTGCGACTAATATCTCCTCTTAGGGTGAACATGGGCGCTTAATAGACTATGAGGCTCAAGGAAGACGATGGGTAGGGCTGGAAATTTTCTCCACGAGAGCGTTTCCGGGTGCAACGTTTGGGAGTATGGGCGCTTGGATTGGCAGATGGATTTGGGGCCAGTCAGATTGTCCGGTTTGTAGTACATTGGACGAGAACGACACTCGCGCTGTCTTCGGGAGCGTCCGAACCTCAGTTTGCGCTTTTTCGTAGGTCGAGCTCAAGACGCCGCTGGGGGCTGTGCATGGAGTCGAGTCGCATAGCATGGCAGAGGACAGCGCAGCAGGTGGGCGAGGCCCAAGACCCGGAAGAAACTTGCTTGACAACAACGCGGTGAACGCGTCGACGTGTGAGCGGTCTAGGAAGCGTGTTATAGTCGTGAATACACTTCTCTCCGCCCATTGTGAGTCACTCGTTCGTGCATGGCGGGCATGCGGGAAGACGCATGTCGCTCCGCAGAAACGAAACGTTGGAGCGTCGTGGTCCAATCATCCTGCTTTCTTCCATCGATGACTCTTAACGGGCTGCAGATGCCCCACGCAACGCGGGACCCAGCACGGACGACACGGCAGGCGCTAAGCGGACAACACCATGGCCGTCCATTCGTCCCTTCGCGCTGCCAACGTCAAACTGCCGCCCCGGCGCCCATCGAGAAAAGTCCCTCAGTGTAGTACTACACACTAGAACTCTGCTATGCGGCGCCGAGGCTGCCGGTTTCATGTTATCCAACCGCCCCATGTGCAGGCGCCTCGCTGGCCCGCTTACCGCTTTCGTATACTTCTTCATAGCTGTAGCCATTGAGAGGACATATTCCCATGCCACCATACTACATCGAGTATGCAACGCCTCAAGAATAGCATAGCCAGAGTCGTTCGCTAGCCACGTACTCGCCCAAGCCAAGCACCAGCAGCGCTATGTTTCAGACGCCTTGTGAGGCTCGCATGTTGTAGAAGCATGCTCTGATACTGCCGCCAGACCGCCAGAACGTCTACCGGTCCAACTCCCCGGGTGCTGGCCCTTCGATGGATCGTGTTTCAGATGTTTTAGCGCGAAGTGGGCGTTGGTTCTCGTGTCTCTACGCGGGGAACAGGAAGGATAAGAAGTCTGTCTGTGCCGCAATCCACCAGTCCATCAGCTTCTTCAAGGACTTCATCTAGAGCACTGCCCGACGAGTCGATTGTGTCTCATTTCCTTTTCCTTCCCTAACTTCTGCGTTTTTGTCTTAGACACCTGGAGCTGGACTCTGCTACTAATCGCTATTCGATAATCTCTTCCTGTCTCTATCCTCAATCTCCACCGCGTAAGTCACTGCTTTTATCCTCGAGCCGAATCATTGGTGCTGATCCAACGTAGTCTGGTAGCTTCACATCATTCATCATGTATAGCCGTCAAACAACACCCCCGACTGCTCCTTTCAACTACATCCCGGGCAGTGTCGGCTCGGACGTCACATACTACTCCCAAGCCTCATCACCAGAACCTCAACTCGCTGGCCCCACCCCTCCACGGTCACCAGTCCGGCAATATGGACCTGTTCTCCTCCCCAAGGTCCGCATGCAAGATCAAGTTGCCGAGCCCACCAGTGGTCCCATTAGACATCGCAGGACGACGTCTACCTCATCCAGCATCGGCTATGCCTACAGCCCTTACTCACGGCCAGCCTCGATGGTTCGTCGTGATTCCAGTCCTTTCAACCACAACATCCACAACGCTCACAGCACAATGACATCTCCCGTGTCAACAGCTTCCTCATACGACTTCAATCTCTCTACTCTCAACTCTCCTATCACATTCGCACAACAGCCCGAGCTTCCACGTCGGTCTTCGTACGTCAGCTCGCACTCCCGCTCTACTTCAGCCAACCGAGCCCGCCATGCTCGCGCTGGCTCTGCTGGAAGTGTTGATGAGCAGGTTATCAGCCGATATGGCTTCCCCACCTACCGCAACATGCCCAGCTACGTCACTGCTTCAAGTGCGCCTCAGTCCAGCCTGAGCCTCGTCACTTCCCTTCCATCGTCTTACTCTTCAGTTCAAGACATGCCCAGCTTTACCTCTACTTGCACTCAAGACTTTGTTGTCCCAGAGTTCGAGGCGGCGCCGGCTGTGCAGTACCCCTCTTTCACAGATGTCAGTTTTGACAGCTTTCAGCAAGTCCCTGCTACATCGTCTCTGGTAGAGTACCTCTCCTCTACCAACCCCTCCCCATCTCTAGTTCGCCGCGTCACTAGCGCACCACGCGGCATCAACAACCACTTCTGGTGGGACATCCGCAACCTCCGCAGCTGGGAAGACTTCAACATTACCACTATCAAGTCTATCCCCTCGGTCCTTCCTCTTCTTGAGGTCCCTGTCCCAGCCAACTACCTTCCCCAGCCTTGCCGCCAGAACCTGCAACCAGAAAACGAGTCAGCGCTCCAGGACATCTGCACAAACTACTACGCCAACAAGGTCAACGCTGCGCTCAAGGTTGCTCAGGGAAACTCTCACATGGTCATGCGCGCCATCAAGCCCGTCGCCGGTCAACGCCAACAACCAGAGTTCGTCTCCAACTACCCCTCCGACTATGAGAAGACCCTCTTCGGTGACAGCCGAGGCCGCGTCGTCGGTCTCGTCAAGTGCTACGACCAATGGAACACCGGCATGCGCAGCGAGTCACCTCCCAAGCAAGTTCTCTACCTCCAGGGTCTCGCTCACCTCCACCGCGTCATGCGCGAGCACGGTTGCCGCTACGGCTTCATCATGACCGAGATCGAACTTCTCTGCGTCCGCTGCGGTGGCCCATCCTCCTTCTCCACCCCCGACCCTACAACCGTCAACGCACAAACCGGCGTGCCCATTTATGGGTACTTGGAGACCTCTGCTCCCATCCGTCTCTCAACTTCCGGTTCGCACCCCGAGACTGGCGACATCCAACTGACCGCCGCCCTCGCTCTTTGGTACCTGCACATGCTCGCCAAGGAGAACCCCTTTGAGGGTATGGGCACCTGGCGCATGGACGTTGGTGGCCCTGCTGCGTTGACCAGGCAAAACTTCTTGGACAAGGACACTTGGATTCCTAAGCCGCAGCTTGGCGAGAAGAGGGAGGCGAAGAGGGTTAGGGGTTGGGTTTTCCCTGACGAACCATTGAGTAAGAGGGAGTGTGGTAAGGGAAAGAGGGGAAAGTCTATTGGTTAATTGGTTGAGTTTGGTAATGGTTATGAGGAATGATGGTATGATGAGATGATGGATGATGGGATGGGATACGATAAAACAGCTGCTGGTCAGCACAAGCTCTCTTTTTGCATTGAGCGGCGTTTTCTTTCTATTGGGCTTTAGCAGCATTACCTGGCGTTTTCTTGATAACACAGCATTTACATGGCGCGATAGTTTTGGGTTAAATATCTTAGTAGTTCAGAAGCAATGGTACTTCTCACCATCAACGCTGTCCCTCATAGTCTGTACGACGCTTGCTTTTGAACCCAAACACCAGATTTGGGGTAACCCGCCAAACCACATGTGCCAACTTGTCAGCCTAGTTCTCGATATCTAAAGACTGTTCAAGCTCTTAATACTTATCCTCCTTCATCACACATCTTACCTCACTTTCTCAAAAAGACTGGGGCCATACCGTATGAAGACGCCTGTCTTCCTGTCTCCAAAAGGTGGGACTTCTATTTGGCATGTCTGCAAGCTTGCGAGAACTCCAAATGCAAACGGCCCCAGCCTCATGGTCACCTTCTCTACCTTCTGACTCCCAAGAACAACCACAGGTACCGGTCGTGTATTTTGCGCCTCTCGAAGAAGTAGACGGATGCAGATACGTGCATGAGCTGTCTGTTATGATGGTCCAAAACACCGCTCAGGGTTTTGGGAAACCTTCTCTCCTTTATCACACTCTACTTCTAAAATGCTAAAACCATTATTTACACCCCTTATAGACTTTTTGTAGTATGGAGTGTTTGATGCGACCCGATACAGAAAACAGCATAGTCATGTTTGTAGGAGGGCAGACGACCACAAAGCGACAACAAATCACGCATGATGTGGTCGCTTGCTTGATTGTCAACCTCAAACCTCGCTTGGCCATTATCGTGTTGGCACTCCTTGTCTCGTCTGTGTAAGATCTGGTCTTCAAAACTGACATGGCATGCTTCGATGTAGATTTATGCTTAGATCAAAGATTTGATAAATCTTCACGGGTATTAGGTCTTCGACTATCGACACCATATCTAACATTTTGTGTGGACAGTCCGGAAATAAACACATATCTCCGAAGTTCTACGCCGTAACACAATCATGCACTTCCGTTCACAGCAAACCTTCACCGGGGCGATTTTTCGTCCCTCCATCCAAAGGGAAAAAGGGCCCAAGACACTGATGTTTGGCTGAAAAACTGCATGAAAAATCGCACATAAGATGAATCTAGGGTTTTTGGTTGCTTTATATACCATCTTGACCATGGAAGCCATAATGCTAGTGGAAGATATAAAACACTGCTCCGTTACTTAGTCTGTTCTCTATACTATCATCTGTATCAAAACCTCCAAAAAGTGTGACATTCTCGACATGTTTTCTTCTACGTTTTCGCCTTTGCACAAAACGTACTGGATGCAGACATGGGATCAGCCCGTCTTTTCGGCGGGATGGTGTTTCGACTTGAGCAGCCGCAAGCATAGCGCATTAGTGTTGGGTAAGTATACGTAAGGCATATGCCTCGCTGATCTTCCGCTCACCATCCAAGTTATTTGAAATTGATCGGAAGCTGCAACAGCTTGTATATCTCATGGTGTTTTGAGCCAATGTTCGCAAGCCAGGCACAGATGAGTGTCGTTCTACCCAGGTCCTTCTTTCCATCAAGTACATCATTTTATCAAATATCAAGGTGATGATATTGTTTGCGCATGCCTATCTTAAGTGAACATCTTTCGGCTGGACCTGGCTCAAAAAGAAGATAAGAAAATTCATGTCCTGGTTATCTGGTCGCATTAGGGGCGGCAGGCTTCATGCGTGTTTTTGGCATAGTGATACAGACACTCGGAAATACTTATGATGTACGTGCTGTCCCACCTTCTCGAAGATGGTTTTGGCAGACTCGATCGGTCCCCCATGGCGATGCCTGAATTGTGGCGTGACAGACTTCGCAAACATGCTTGCTGCATAGGCCAGTACAAGCTTCCGGATAAAAGTATGGAGAGTGTAAAGACATGGTAGGTCAGCGTCGTAGTACGGTTGCATTTGATCCAGCAGTAGCACTATTTGCCGAAAGGGTCGCGTCGCAGCCGTGGAAGCCGTGCGGATGTCAGTGCGTCAAGTGGGTAGGGCCCGACATGAGAGCGATGACGCTCTGTTGCTTCGGTCTGCGTCCTTCCTATCGGCAACGATGGAAGTTGGTGGGAAGCGTCGGATGACAAGTACCTATCCATCAGCCTGCAGGTACCGCTTTATGCCGGCCCAGAGGCCGCTGTTCGCCGTCGAAGTAGATGCGCGTTTTGTAACATGGGTACCTGGAAGCCTGTTGATGTGTTTGGCGATGCAAGGCAGTGTGCCAGAAAACGTGACAGCCAAGGTGGCATGTGGTGATGAGTAAATAGATGCATCGTGGTGGTCAAAGGGCAGGGACAGTGCATTGACCGCCACGTGCGCTAACGATGCTGGGAGGGAAAGCCGCGATTCTGATCCACACAAAATTAACTACTGCCCCTCCATCATCACGTCCCGCACAAGCTGCACAAGCCCGACGAGGCGCAAAATCGAGGGAAAAAGCACGCGTGCCTTTATCCTGACACAGTCCCTCCCGCCAATTCTTACCCCATAACGCTGTTTGCGGGTGCAAAGACAGCAGTAATCTCGCCCGATCCCCCACTGCCACTTCTCACCGCACCCACCACCCTTGGCTTTCTCTAGCCCATCACCAATACTCGCCGCAGACCCTGTCACATACTCGCAACCATGGACGTTGCCGGCCTGCGGGATAGGATTCAGGCGACTCTTGACGCGAACGCCGCCATCAGACAGCAAGCTGAACTCGACCTCAAGCATGTGCGTGTTGAATGCCGGAAGAATGCCTACCAGACGGCAGACTGATAGAAATATAGGCCGAAGAAAAGCCAGGCTTCACCGACGGCCTGCTGAACATCCTCGAGCAGGAACAGAACAACGCCGTGCGCCTGTCGAGTAAGATGCGCCTACAACCACTCTACACCCGTGGCCTTCATCACTAACGCGTGCCTACAGCCGTCGTCTACCTCAAAAACCGCATTTCCAAGGGCTGGTCGCCTGCCGAAGAATACAGCCAGGCCATCCCCATACCAGAGGAAGAAAAGGCTGCCTTCCGCAGTCGCCTCGTCCCCGTCCTCGTCGCCTCCCCGCCCCAAGTGCGCCTACAGCTTATTCCTACCCTCCAAAAGATTCTCGCATACGATTTCCCTGCCAAATGGCCAGACTTCCTCGACATCACTATACAACTACTGAACGCTGGAAACATCGAGTCAGTCTTCGCGGGTGTCCAGTGTCTGTTGGCGATATGCAAGATCTACAGATTCAAGTCGGGAGAGAACCGCGCAGATTTTGACAAGATAGTTGCCATGTCCTTCCCTCAGCTGCTGAATATCGGAAACTCACTGGCTGGTGAGACGAGCTTGGAGGCTGGCGAGATATTACGGACGGTGTTGAAGGTGTACAAGCATGCCATCTACGTAAGATTTTCACTGGCATAGCATATGACGAGTGGCTGACCAGACCATAGTTCGATCTCCCCGCATCCCTGCGCGACCAGCAAGTCATGGTTGGCTGGTGCACACTGTTCTTGACTGTCGTCGGCAAGGAACCCCCAGAGTCGTCTCTCCCCGAAGATCTCGACGAGCGGGAAGTAAATCATTGGTGGAAGGCGAAGAAGTGGTCATACGCAAACTTGAACAGGCTATTCGTTAGGTACACAGAAAGACTATGCATGACTCACTTGGGCGTGGCTAATCACCAACAGGTACGGCAACCCGTCTGCGCTCGGCAAGAACAACGAGATCGACTATACCGAAGTAGCCAAGACCTTCATCACCAACTTCGCGCCCGAGATCCTCAAGGTCTACCTCCAGCAGGTCGAGAAATGGGTTGGGAAGCAAGTCTGGCTGTCAAAGGCCAGCTTGTACTACACGCTCAACTTCCTCGACGAGTGCGTCAAGCCCAAGTCCATGTGGACCCTCCTCAAGCCGCACACCGACAACCTCATTGCCCATCTCATCTTCCCTGTCCTGTGTCAGTCGGATGAAGACATCGAACTCTTTGAGGAGGAGCCACAAGAGTACCTACACAGAAAGTTGAACTTCTACGAAGACGTGACTGCCCCCGACGTTGCCGCGACAAACTTCCTTGTTACGCTCACCAAGAGCCGCCGCAAGCAGACATTTACTGTGCTGAACTTTGTCAACGAGGTAGTCAACCGATATGAGGCCGCTCCCGACAACGAGAAGAACCCAAGAGAGAAGGAGGGTGCGTTGCGCATGATTGGTACTCTCTCTGGCGTTATACTAGGCAAGAAGAGCCCGATCGCAGACCAGGTCGAATACTTCTTCGTCCGCCATGTGTTCCCCGAATTCCGAAGCCCCCACGGTTTCCTGCGTGCTCGCGCATGCGATACCCTCGAGAAGTTCGAACAGCTTGATTTCAAGGACCCGAATAACCTCATCATCATCTACCGTAACATCCTGGAGTCCATGGCTGATCCGACGCTCCCGGTCCGTGTTGCTGCTGCCCTGTCACTGCAACCCCTCATCCGCCACGATGTTATTCGAACCAACATGAAAACGAACATTCCCCAGGTTATGCAGCAGCTACTGAAGCTCGCTAATGAAGTCGACGTTGATGCGCTTGCCAACGTTATGGAGGACTTTGTCGAAGTTTTTGCTCCGGAATTGACTCCCTTCGCCGTGGCGCTGAGCGAACAGCTGCGTGACACCTACCTGCGTATTGTGCGGGAATTGGTATCAAGAAACCAAGAGAAGGGCGACGAAAGCGAGTACGGTGACTTCCTTGACGAGAAGAGCATCACGGCTCTTGGTGTCCTACAGACCATTGGTACTCTTATCCTTACCCTGGAAAGTACACCTGATGTTCTTCTACATCTAGAGACCATTCTTATGCCTGTTATCACCATTACCCTCGAGAACAAGCTTTACGGTATGCAAACCTGTAAATCCAGCCGCTTCAGCCCCATACTAACGTCTTCGCAGACCTATACAACGAGGTCTTTGAGATCATCGACAGCTGCACCTTTGCTGCCAAGAGCATATCCGGAACCATGTGGCAAGCATTTGAGCTGATACACAGGACATTCAAGGCCGGTGCTGAGCTATATCTTGAGGGTATGTGCCTTCTTTCTTGCCGGTCACCAATATGTCTGCTGACTATGTATAGATATGCTCCCTGCGCTTGAGAACTTTGTCAACTATGGTACACCCACCTTGATCCAAAACCGGTCTTATCTCGATGCAATTGTCGACATGGTCAGGACAATCTTCAAGGACGACAAGGTTGGTGGCGTTGATCGCATCTGCGGTTGCAAGCTAGCCGAGATCATCATGCTCAACATGCGTGGCCATGCCGATGACTACGTCCCTGAGTTTATCGGACTTACAATGCACGTGCTGATGAATGATGAACCCAAAGTAAAGTCTTTGAGGATACATCTCATGGAGGTTGTCATCAACTCCATCTATTATAACCCTGCTTTGGCGCTTCATGTGCTTGAGACAAACGGCTGGACCAACAAGTTCTTCAGTCTCTGGTTCTCGAGCATCGATAACTTCACTCGAGTTCACGATAAGAAGCTCTGTATCTCCGCCATCTGCTCCCTTCTCACACTACGAGCTCAAGACGTTCCTGTAAGCGTACAGCAAGGCTGGCCACGCTTGTTGCAGGGTGTTACCCGTCTATTCCAGACACTCCCCGCAGCTCTGAAGAGTAAGTTCCCGTTCATCCTGGTCCACTAGCGATAACTAACACCTGCATAGACCGTGAGGAAGCTAAGAAGGAAGACACATTCGATTACTCCGCCGAGTTCGAGGAAGAGGAAGACGAGGAGTGGGAACAAGAAGCTGACTGGAACAACGAGGCGGACGAGACTGAGGATGTCAAGGACGAGAGTGCCGCTTATCTCGACTTCTTGAATGAAGAGGTATGCATATACCGCCCGGTATTGGAGATGCAAGCTGACCAGAAATAGGCTCAAAAGTTCAGTTCGATCGATGATGACGACGATGACGAGCTAGAAGAGGAAAGTCTCCTTGAGACACCGCTTGACAAGGTCGAGCCATATGGCATGTTCAAGCACGCATTGCTACGTAAGTATAATCCATCGAACCGTGCCGCAAATTCATACTGACTGTATATCAGGTCTTCAACAAGAGCAACCTGCGCTGTATGAGAATCTTACCAAGAACCTAAGCGCAGAGGAGCAACAAGTGGTCCAGGGTGCTGTCCACCAGGCCGATATCATCGCCCAAGTTCAAGCCGAGGCTCAAGCTGCTGCTGCCAATGGACACCCAGGATTGCCGCCACAGTAGAAGCATGATTTATCATTCGCGTCATCAATAAAATCTGCCCTAGAGGTACACACAAGGCTTCGCTGTTTCGAGGGCCCACGAGAAGCTCGGCGTAGATCTTCAGGCTACAGTTTGACGAGGCCAAACTCGGAGATTGAAAGGCGAAGTAGGGCCTGGGCCTTCTAGTTGGCCTCTTTTTAGCGAGCATACTGGCGTTTTGACTCTTTTCAGGGAAGACGCTTTGGACCGGAGGTTTGTTCCGGCGGCTGCTAGTCAGACGGTGTAGTATGGCGTTCGTTTGGTGTGTTAGTATCATTGTTATGAAAAAGAGGAGGACGATATCCACGAGAGGCACCATTGCTTGGAATGAGATCATGTATGCGGAATGATGTTGTCGCCGGCCTTGAAGGCTACAGTAGATAGTGCACCTGACATAGGAGCAAACTTTTCAAGACTATCGCATTGACTTGCCGTGAGACCTTTACGCCAATATCATGATTTATCCGGGATTTACGATCATGGTTAATTAAAAAAGGCGCGTGGCTGCCCTGTCGATCGTAAGGGAGGCCGCGGACCACGCTATCGATAAGCCACCGGCGCAAAGCGTCATCGTGGCTTGTTGATATCCCGCGCGAAACGTGGTAGAAACTACGCCTACCCATCGCAACTCGACAGCCATCTTGACACACCTATCGCTGCCCAGCAAAGACTCCTCATCTCTACGCGACTACCAATCTTCGGTTCTATCCTAACGAGCGACCTGATTCACCTAGTACAAGTCCGACTCCCAAGCGCAAACGATTGCTGCATACGGTCGCATCTCCCTACCGTCATCCAGCCTCAAAGATACGTGTTACAAAGCCCCTGGGCAGAGTGCTTCCACCATGTCGCGTCCAACAGTCTCCAAAGCGCAAACCACGTACCCGATCTTCGTCAGTAGTGTGCCTATACGGACTCCATGAGACATATACTGACTTGGTACGCCCGCATGCAGGCTGCAACATTCGCTAGTAACAGACCGGGCGTTCTCGTGGTGGGCGGAGGTGGAGGAGCAGGGAGAAGCGGAGTCAAAAACCAAATTACAGCATACGACTTTACTTCACGAGCGCCGACTATACAATCTTTCGCGGAGATTGAAGCGAGCAAAGACGATTCCATAACTTGCTTGGACAACCTTTCTACAAAAGATGGCCTAATCTTGTTTGCTGGAAATGGCAGTAGCGAAGAAGAACGGTTGAAGGGTAATAACGAACATCTGCGGGCGTTTGAATTGAAATATTCAAAGAGTGCCGAGAAAACAGATGGAAAGGTCGATTTTGTCAGTAAGACTCAGCTCTTCAAGACACCCAAGTCGGACGGTGGTAAAAAGGAAGGCTACCAGCGGATTGTCAAACTATCCCCAGCACGTCGGACGACGTCCAGCACACCCAGCAGGCGAATTGGCGCGATCGCGTCCAGCCTCGCAGGAGATGAGAATGAGATTGTCATCTTCAGTGCAACGTCGACTAAACCAGCCGATCAAGATGTAATAGGACGAATCGATCTGCATCAAGGCCAAGAAGCAAACGATCTGGATATCTTTACACAAGAGGAAGGAGAGTTCCGGATAGCCTACGTAACAGATTCAAATGTCTTTGTCCAGGATGTGAACTGGGACTTCGGCCAGAGGAAGACTAAGGGCAAAAACGAACACAGGAAGCTCTACACAATACCTCACGTTGAGAAAGGCGCCAAGAGTAAGCTGAGATGCGTACGGTGGCTTTCGTCGAAACACCTGTTGTTGTTGAAGAACTTGCCCAACAGGACCGGAGTCGAGCTGCTCCTTATACATCTTTATGAAGATGGCCCAGCAAGCGTCGTTCTGCGGAAAACACTGCCCAAGCACGTAAAAGCGGCAACAGATATGGACGTCAGCTTGCTTGATGCCGACGAAGACGGCGCCTACCAGATTGCAATTGCGGTCGCGGCCATTGATATATCCTTGACCGTCTACACAATGGACTACCACGGGCCAGCAAGAGATTCTTTGAGTTCATTCCATGCATTCAATAGCTACGATAATGTAAGTGGAAAACATACCCGTAAAATCCGATATGTGCTAACAAAAGCAGGTTCACGATGTGCAAATGACGAAAGCCGTCTTCTCGCCATTCTTCAAGCCAGAGGTGTCAACTGGCCGTCAAGATCCACCCCAGTACTTGCGTCTGGCAAGTACGTCGTTGGGAAACACGATCAGCGTGGAGACCTTTCAGTTGCAATATACCGGATCTCGCTATGTGCTCCAGACAGCGCGTTCGAGAAACTTGTTCACAGCGGCTACTTACCTTGTTGGGGCCATGATAGTAGCAGTCATTGCTCTACTAATACAGTCATTGGTGGACCCAGAGGGCAATCTTACCAAGGGTATACTACCTGCCAGTCTACAGAACGCGGCAAGCCGACACAAAAGCTTTGGCGAGACATTGCGCGACAAACGCCACAGCGCCATTCTCAACAACGCCAACTCACCAGTGGTCAAGACATCGCACCGCATCGCCGACTTACTACACCTTCACCTCCCTCATGTCATCTCCGACACCAAACCATCGGAGCCTTCAGGCCAACAAAAGGCCCTCGTTATACATCACGACCCAGAGTCTGACGGTACTCTCAGCACAGAAGTTCATGCTGGAGATGAAGATGTTTTGAAGAAGCATGCCGCCGCTCGAAAGTGGGAGGAGCTCAGCCATGAGGAGAGGAACCAATGGAAAGAGAAGCTGAGCGATGCTGGCATGTGGGCTGTGGGTGAAGGCGAAACTATCCTGAAGTCGATATTCTTTGGGCAGCTCGGTGGAGCAATTGGCCATGCTGTTGAGGGCGCACTGGCTGGCTAGATCGGAGACATCACGACGGAACAACGATGTAATGGTCATTGTGGATACGATCGGGCAATCGACGTGCGTGCTTCATGGCATGTGATACTTAATGTCAATTTGATGCTGTGCGGTGAATGGATGTGTATCATAGTGAACGGGGGGTGTCTCTAACACATGAGTGCCATAGGATCACTTTGTTGTACCGGTAGCAAAAGTAGAACAACTAGCAGATGATGCATTTGAATCGCAACATCACATTTTATCGTTGGATGAGCTTGTCTCCACTCACCTTGTAATTCTCACCGCCGTTACTAATTCCAGACGCCTCGTCCTGGGTTGCGCTTCCCCGGTGTGCGGATCGGGACTAGCTCCCGAGGCTCGCGTGAGGTCAAAGCGCTAGTCCGCGTTCGTGACATACGTCGGGCCTGCGTCCAGTAACTTTGGCAACACCAATTCTCCCCACGCGCCCCTTCTAATAACGGTTCTTCTCTCCTTTTCATGGATGAAGTGAGAACACAGACTCTTGCTGCGAGAGGCTTCAGTTGAAGCAGTCAAGATGGCGCAGCACGCCTTTTCGGGCAACCTGGACCGCATAGTCCAGAACCTGCGTTCAAAGTGAGCTCTGTGAAGCACAGCAATTGCGACGGACAGCTGACAAGCCAAGACATGACGATACGCGACAGAGGGCAGCTAACGACCTCCGATCGCAGGTCGAACAGGCGCATCGAGGTGAGGACCGACGCGAAGCACCCCGCCCAAGCTGTGGGAAACTGATGTCGTGCAGAACTCGCGCCCAACGTCTTCACCACATACAACAACGAAGTATACACAAAGATTTCGAGCCTCATCGTCACAGGTAGCGACTCGAACGAACGCATCGGCGGAATCCACGCGCTCAACGCCCTGATCGACTTCCGCGGCGACGATGCGGGCCAGAAGACGACGCGGTTTGCCTCGTACCTGAGGGCGGTAATGCGGGGTCAGGACATCACAGCCATGGTGGTAGCAGCCAAGGCCCTGGGACGACTCGCAAAGCCCGGCGGTACGCTCACGGCGGAGCTGGTCGAGGCAGAGGTCAAGGGCGCCCTCGAGTGGCTGCAGCTGGAGCGTCTGGAGAATCGGCGCTTCGCTGCTGTCCTCATCCTGCGGGAACTGGCCAAGAACTCCCCTACCCTCATGTACCAGTGGATTGCGCAGATCTTCGAGGTCATCTGGGTTGCCCTGCGAGACCCCAAGGTCCTCATACGAGAGAGCGCCGCCGAGGCCATCAGCGCGTGTTTCGAGATCATTTCCCCCCGCGACTCACAGATGCGACAGCTATGGTTCGGCAAAGTCTACGACGAGATCCTACGCGGCTTTACCATCAACACGAACGAGGCCATCCACGGCTCGCTCCTCACCATGAAGGAGCTACTCGACAAGAGCGCCATGTTCATGAACGACCAGAAGTACAAGGAGACGGTTGAGCAGGTACTCAAGTACCGGGAACACCGCGACGCGCTGGTACGGAGAGAGGTGGTACTCATTATACCCATTCTCGCTGGTTATTCACCGACCGAGTTTGCGACCAAGTACTTACACCAGTGCATGCTACATCTCCAGGGTCTGATCAGGAAAGATCGCGACAGGGACAAGGCATTCGTGGCTATTGGGCAGATCGCAAACGCGGTCGGAGTTGCCATCACACCATATTTGGAGGGCATCTTAGGCTTCGTACAGGAAGGTCTTATCGCAAAGGCGCGAAACAAGGCCGCCATCAACGAAGCACCAATATTTCAGTGTCTCAGTATGGTTGCCGCAGCGGTTGGTCAGGCACTTACCAAGTCTGTTGAGCGGCTGCTGGACCCCATCTTCTCTTGCGGGTTGAGCGACTCACTCTTCCAGGCCCTTGTGGACATGGCGCACTACGTACCGCCATCACGTCCCATGATCCAGGACAAACTGTTAGATCTCCTCAGCCAGATCCTTGCCGGACGACACTTCCTACCCCTTGGCAGCCCGTTCCAAGTTTCACAACCTCCACAGATCTGGACACGCGACCACAAGGATCCTCAAATCATCGCAGCACGAGAAGCTGAGATCGCGCTGGCACTGCATACGCTCGGTAGTTTCGACTTTACAGGCCACGTCCTCAACGAATTCGTTCGTGATGTCGCTATTCGATATGTAGAAGCGGATAGCTCTGAGATCCGGAAGCGTGCCGCCCTCACATGCTGTCAGCTCTTCGTCAAGGACCCGATTGTTCACCAGACTAGTACCCACGCGACCAAGGTCGTTGGCGACATTATCGAAAAGCTCCTGACAGTAGGTGTCGGCGATGTGGATGCGGAAATCCGATGGGACGTCTTGATGGCGCTGGACGCACGTTTCGACCGTCATCTCGGAAAGGCAGACAACGTCCGCACGCTGTTCCTCGCTCTCAACGACGAGATATTCGCTATCCGAGAAGCTGCAATGTCCATCATCGGTCGCCTGACAGCTGTCAATCCCGCTTATGTATTCCCATCGTTACGCAAGGTCCTCCTACAATTGTTGACTGAGGTCAACTATGCCAACAGCCCACGCAGTAAAGAAGAGAGCGCCAAGTTGATCAGTAGTTTGGTCGGCGCTGCGGACAGTCTCATCAAGCCACTGATAGATCCCATCGTCGAGGTCCTTCTACCCAAGTGCAAAGACACTAATCCCGAGGTTGCTTCAACCACGCTCAAAGCTATTGGCGACCTTGCAACAGTTGGCGGTGAGGGTATGATCAAGTACATCAAGGATCTCATGCCAGTTATCCTGGACTTCATGCAAGATCAGACATCGGATGCTAAACGCTTTTCGGCTCTAAAAGCTCTGGGGCAACTAGCGACAAATGCCGGATACGTAATCGAACCATACAGAGACTACCCAGAACTGATGAACATTTTGATGAGTATCGTCAAGACGGAACCAGAAGGTGAACTCAGGAGGGAGACTGTTAGGCTTATGGGTACCCTTGGAGCCCTGGATCCGGACGAGTACCAGAAGATCATGGAGCAGTCGCCAGACAAACATCTCATCATGGAAGCGCAAGCCATCACCGACGTCTCGCTCATCATGCAAGGCACGACTCCGTCAAATGAAGAATACTACCCGACAATCGTTATCAGCACGCTTATGGGACTGCTTAAGGATCCGTCCCTTGTACAGTACCATACTGCCATCGTCGAGGCTGTCATGAACATCTACGCGACGATGGGTTTGAAGTGCGTCCCATTCCTGAGCCAAGTCGTACCTGGCTTCCTCCACGTCATCCGTTCGACGCCTGCTGGACGCTCCGAAGGTTATTTCAACCAGCTTAGCCAGCTTGTTCGAATCGTACGTCAGCACATTCGGCCCTACCTGCCTAGCATTCTTGCAACCATCAAAGAGTACTGGAGTAGCAGTCCGCAGCTGCAAGCTACCATTCTCTCTCTGATTGAGGCTATCGCCCGCTCACTGGAAGGCGAGTTTAAGGTCTACCTGGCCGATGTTCTACCACTCATGCTCAGCGTCCTTGATTCTGATAACACCAGCAAGCGACTGCCTTCAGAGCGAGTGCTGCACGCCTTCTTGATCTTCGGCGCAAGTGCGGAAGAATACATGCATCTGATCATCCCAGTGATGGTGAACATGTTTGACAAGCCAGGTCAACCGTTAGCGATCCGAAAACATGCCATCGAAACACTAGGACGGTTATCGAAGCAAGTCAACGTTTCCGAATTCGCTGCGCGCATCGTGCATCCCCTCTGCCGAGTGCTTTCTGGCAGTGAACCATCCTTGAAGCAGACTGCTCTCGAGACGCTCTGCGCACTTATCTTCCAACTTGGTCCAGACTACATTCATTTCGTACCCACAGTCAATAAGATCCTCATCGCGCACAAAGTTCCTCATGAGAACTATGGACGTATTGTGTCAAAGCTACAGAAGGGCGAGCCTTTGCCTCAAGATCTGAGCCCGGATGAGCGATATGGCGAAGACGACGAAGACTTGAATACTGCAGAGATCTCTTCTAAGAAGTTGGCCGTCAACCAGCAGCATCTCAAGCAAGCCTGGGAAGCTTCTAACAAAACTACCAAGGAAGATTGGATTGAATGGATGCGAAGATTTAGTGTCGAGCTCCTTAGGGAGTCACCACAGCAGGCTCTACGCGCCTGCACACCCCTTGGTAGTGTGTACAACCCGATCGCACGTACCTTGTTCAACTCGGCGTTCGTCTCGTGTTGGACTGAGCTGTATGATCAGTACCAGGAAGAGCTTGTTCGATCTATCGAGACTGCTCTTACATCACCGAACATCCCACCTGAGATTCTACAAGTTTTGCTTAATTTGGCAGAGTTTATGGAACACGATGACAAAGCTCTACCGATCGATGTGCGGATACTAGGTATGTACGCTGGAAAGTGCCATGCTTTCGCCAAAGCGCTGCATTACAAGGAGCTCGAGTTCAACGCGGAGCAGAATTCCAGCGCTGTGGAAGCTCTCATCAGTATCAACAACCAGCTGCAGCAAACCGATGCTGCGTTCGGTATCTTGCGCAAGGCGCAGAACTACGCCGACGTTGAGTTGAAAGAGACCTGGTTCGAGAAGTTGCAGAAGTGGGACGAAGCACTTGCTGCTTATCAGAGGCGTGAGCTTGAAGAACCCGATTCTTTCGATGTTACCATGGGCAAGATGCGCTGCTTGCACGCTTTGGGTGAATGGGACCTGCTCTCTAGCTTATCGAAGGAGAAGTGGGCCAATGCAACGCAGGAGTATCGTAAGGCGATAGCACCGCTCGCTGCGACGGCCGCTTGGGGTCTGGGCAAGTTCGCAGATATGGACAACTACCTTGGTGTCATGAAGGAACAATCTCCTGATCGCGCGTTCTTCGCCTCTATTCTCAACATCCACAACAACCGCTTTGAGATCGCTGTTGACGAAATCGCCAAGGCCAGGAAGGGTCTCGATACCGAGTTGAGTTCGCTCCTAGGGGAGTCATACCAGCGCGCCTATCTCCCAATGATTCGTGTGCAGATGCTGGCAGAGCTTGAAGAGATCATGCAGTACAAGCAGAACGACGGCAATCTTGAGAAGCAAAGGAGCATGCGCAAGACCTGGATGAAGCGGCTTAGGGGGCTGCAACCAAACCCCGAGGTCTGGCAACGCATGATCAAGGTGCGACAACTTGTCATCTCACCAAAAGAAGGCACCGATATGTGGATCAAGTACACCAACCTTTGCCGTAAAAGCAACAGGATGAACCTTGCAAACAAGGCGCTACAAAAGCTGCTGGACATCGAGAGCACTGGCGATAGCACTGTGGTTGAGTTCGTACGCAACAACGCTCACGAGATCTCTCATCCAGTCGCATACACAACCTACAAGTACATGTGGGCCGACCAAAACTACAAACAAGAGGCTCTCGATAGTATGAAGGACTTCACCGGCCGACTCTCCGAGGATCTCGCAATGCGAACTCGGGCTGCAGCCAACCCAATGATGGCGCAGAACGGAATGAACGGTATGTCCAATGGCCAGCACATGTTTACCAACATGAATCCCTTCGCTGCCACGAATGGACACAATGGAGTCAATGGCATGAATGGCTCAAGCATGTTAAACGGATCAAACCTAGGTGTCTCGCCTACCGAATTGGCTGAGAGTCATCGTCTGCTCGCCAAGTGCTACCTCAAGCAGGGTGACTGGCAGCAAGAGCTTCAAGATGGCGAGTGGGAACACGAGTTCGTCCACGAGATCTTAGCAGCTTATGCAGCTGCTACACGCTACAACAAAGACTGGTATAAGGCCTGGCACGCTTGGGCTCTGGCCAACTTCGAGGTCATCAATTCGATTACATCCAAGTCCGACAGGGAGGCAACTGAAGTGCCTAATAACATCATCCACGATCACGTCATCCCGGCTATCCAGGGCTTCTTCAAGTCAATCGCACTGTCTTCAACTAGTTCGCTGCAAGACACACTCAGGTTGCTTACCTTGTGGTTCAGTTATGGTGGTAGGGAGGGAGTCAATCGCACAATCACCGAGGGCACGAAGTCGGTACCCATTGATACATGGCTTGAGGTCATTCCACAATTGCTTGCTAGGATCAACCAGCCCAACGCCGTGGTCAGGCAATCGATTCATCAGCTACTCATCGAAGTCGGCAAAGCACATCCACAGGCTTTGGTTTTCCCATTGACTGTCTCGATGAAATCAGACGTTTCGCGACGACAGCGATCCGCTAAGGAGCTTATGGAAGCTATGCGCGAACACTCGCCAAAACTGGTCGAACAAGCCGATCTTGTCAGTCATGAACTTATCCGTATTGCCGTACTCTGGCACGAGCAATGGCATGAGGGTCTCGAGGAAGCCAGTAGGCTCTACTTCGGCGATCATAATATCGATGGCATGTTTGCCACACTCGCGCCACTCCACGCAATGCTCGACAAGGGTCCGGAGACTTTACGGGAGATTTCTTTCATCCAGTCTTTCGGTCGCGAACTCCAAGAAGCCCGTGATTGGTGCAACACATTCAGGACTTCTGGTGAAATTGGCGACCTCAACCAGGCATGGGACCTCTACTACCAGGTGTTCCGCAAGATCGCTCGCCAACTGCCGTCCTTGATGACGCTTGAGTTGCAATATGTCTCACCGAAACTCAAGGATGCGCACGACTTGGAGCTTGCTGTGCCTGGAACGTACCAAGTCGGCAAGCAGGTTATCCGGATCATCTCGTTCGACCCGGTTGCATCTGTAATCCAGTCCAAGCAGCGACCCAGGAAGTTGGAGATGCGCGGAAGCGATGGCAAGGCGCATACCCATATCCTCAAGGGCCACGAGGATATTCGTCAAGATGAACGTGTCATGCAACTCTTCGGTCTCTGCAATACCCTGCTTTCCAACGATGTGGAGTCACGAAAGCGACATCTTAACATCCAACGCTATGCCGCGGTTCCACTTAGTACACAGTCCGGTTTACTTGGGTTTGTCCCTAACAGCGACACGCTCCATGTGCTCATCCGAGAGTATCGGGATAGTAGAAAGATTCTTCTCAACATCGAGCACCGTATCATGTTGCAAATGGCGCCCGACTATGACTGTCTCACACTTATGCAGAAGGTCGAAGTCTTTGGCTACGCGCTCGACAACACTACAGGTCAAGATCTATACCGTGTCCTGTGGCTCAAGTCTAAATCCTCGGAAGCCTGGCTTGATCGTCGTACAAACTACACGCGTTCACTTGCCGTCATGTCCATGGTCGGTTACATCCTGGGTCTCGGCGATCGCCACCCTAGTAACTTGATGCTGGATCGCGTCACTGGCAAGATCATCCACATTGATTTTGGAGACTGCTTCGAAGTGGCCATGCATCGGGAAAAGTACCCCGAACGCGTACCATTCCGATTGACGCGCATGTTGACGTATGCCATGGAAGTCAGTAATATTGAGGGTAGCTACCGGACGACTTGCGAGCACGTCATGCGGGTGTTGAGGAGTAACAAGGAGAGTGTCATGGCTGTGCTTGAAGCTGTAAGTTCTTTCTTCTTCCTATATGCATATTTCTTTACTAACATAACACTACAGTTCATCCACGACCCCCTCCTAACCTGGCGCCTAAACCACCGCGACACCTCCCCCGTCGAACCCAACTACCCCTCCGAGCGTCGCCAATCAATCATGGTCGGCGACCCCAACAACCCCAATGGCAACGACCCCCACCAAATGCCCAGCATCGTCGGTCGACCCCGCCATCGCTCTTCCGTCGCTCCTCCCCAGAACAACGACGTCGATGCCAAGGAAGTGCAGAATGCAAGGGCACTACAGGTCCTGTCCCGTGTCAAAGAGAAGTTGACAGGTAAAGACTTTGGCAAGGGCGAGGAATTGAGGACGGAGATGCAGGTCGATAGGCTGATCAAGGAGGCGACAAACTTGGAAAACTTGTGTCAGCATTACATTGGTTGGTGTAGTTTCTGGTAGGCGGCTTGCCATACCCTATCAGTCTAAGCGAACGATTGTTTAGTGGGTGGGTGCATGAGTGGCATTAGCCTGATGGAGTTTTGGGACATGTGCTTTTCATGAGCGAGTTTCGTGTATTAGTATGACTTGTTCATTTCACTGAGCGGCATTGCAGTGGTGCTTTTGGTGTTGGGGAGAGTAGCAAAACGGCTTGTAGTGGGTGGTGAGCCTGCTGCTATAATGATGATATTACTGATTTTATGAAGCTATCTCAATGTGATCGTGCGTATACTTTGATCATGTCATCTGGGTTTCTCGATTGAGTTTACTGCTGCATACGAGATATCTCACGACATTGTCTCTTGTAAGAAGAACAATCCTGTAGGATTCAGAATATTGGGTTTCGTGCTATCCGAAGTTGGCAGGCATCGTGGTTCGTGATACGAAGTTGTGAAGATCAGTATTCCAAAAAAGAAAAGCATGCACATGTCAGCTATGACGCGTACAGAATAGTTTCTTTTCTCTTGCCGTGCTTGCCAGTACCCAGGCGGAACGTCGGCAGACGGTGAAGAGTATTTTACCAGCTATATGGTAACGGTGTTCCAGACTAATGTCTGATGGGGGCAGTTTGGTAGAGAAAGGTACCGGTTATTCCCCGTAGAGATGCAACGCAGATTTTTCGGGTTTTCGGGCAAACCGCTTTATGCGGCGGATGAAGTTGCACAGAGAAAGAGTATCGCATGGTTCGAATCGCATACGCCAAAGACAGCCAATTGCTTGAAGACCAACACCACCATAGGACGTCAGTCACCGCGATCGAATCCGAGGCCACCAATACGGTAGTCTACCAACAGATGTCGAAGCCAAGACGCGGATGATGGATATGTCGAAGATACACCCATACGTCATAGCGTTGGGTCGAGAAGAACCAAGTGGGTCAAGGGTCTCCGGGTTCTCTTTTGTGATCGAAGATGCCGTTCGTGCCAGATCTAATCCGCGCACATGACAAGATGAGCGTGTCGTGATGTACTCATCACCCGTATTAACCGCAGCAGTTGCGATAGCCTACGCGGAAAATATGATCATGTAGCAATGCTGGCGTAGCGCGTGTGGGCCTTGAGTGGTTTGCTCGTGTGCTTGGTTACCGTGCGCAGACAATATCGCGTACATCAACATTGGAACATAGGAAGTTGAGTTGGATCGGGCCTGCACATGTCCTTGTATTGGGCTGTTAGTGTTTTGAATAGACGTTGGGTATCTAGATACGGCCTGGTTCTCGGCCGTGCTGGCCCTGTCTTACTGTACTGACAGAATCTCCGAGAGTCCACAAGCAGTTCGCTCGCTATCACGAAGATGCTATTCCCGCCAGTGATGGGAGCGACATGGATGTGGACCCTTGTTACGCGATCAAAGACGGTGACGGTAACCTGCAGATAGCAGTCTGAAACTCGAGGGTTGGCTCTTGGATTATGTTCCGAGTTCCCGCTAAGCAGAGGTATTTCAAGGGGGCCGGCTAGATAGCCGAGATGGTGTGGCCGCTATGGCCATGACTACGCAACTTTGCTGGCTTCTGGTTTGTTGCGACTGGAAGTGCGGCAGATCGACGGGGTGGGGGCTGGTCAAAAACTGTTGTAGCGGTGCTTGAATGGGAAGGCGTGCAGATACATAGGGTTGGGTATCGCCGAAGTTTTGTTTCAGGTCTTCACTTGAGGTTTCTCTACAGTCTTCTCTTTCTGTTTCGCGTCAAAACAAAGGCTCCGATTAGCTCTGCAGAGGCAACGATAGGACGATAGGAGAGTGACATCATTGGGTCGTTGCTGAACCACAATTTCCAAGACATTCGCTCGCCCCGCGGGCCCGCTTGTACCGCTGCGGCCTGACTTGGCATCATGAGCCGCAACGCTCAGAACCTCCGCTTGCCTACCAATGACAGCTTCCCACCTTTTTCCAACGTTCAACGGCCTGCATCAAGTTCCTCTACCGCCTCAGTGTCGAGTGCAGAGGAGAGGCTGCAATGGCGCAGTCACCCGAATGTCGCGACGCCATTTGCGGATCCGTCATTCCAGAACCCGTTCGATGACCCCAACCTCGCATTGGCATCGCCCCTGAGCCGCGATGAACCTGAAGGCCTTGCAAACGATGTCCAGAAGCAGATTCAGCGGGAAGAGGAGGAAGACGAGTACCATGGGGACGCCAATGAGAGGACCGACACGACTTCCACAGAGAAGACCGATGATTCCGTTCGCCAGAACCCGAGGGCATTGACGGCTGTCACTAGCAGGAGCACAAAACATAGCGCCCGTGGAGCAGACGTGCCGGAGGATAGGAAGACGCTCAGCTTCAAGGAGCGCATACGGCATTTTACCTGGACCTGGTTCTGCCTTACCATGGCTACCGGAGGCATTGCTAATGTTCTGTACACCGTGCCTTTCCGCTTCCACGGCCTTTACGCCCTCGGTTGTATCTTCTTCATCTTCAACATAGTCCTGTTTCTATTCAACGTCGCGATGATCTCTTGCCGATTCTACTTCTACCCACGAACCTTCAAGGCTTCGTTTTTACATCCTACCGAATCGCTGTTCATCCCCGCGGCCATGGTCAGCTTTGGTATCATCTTGATCAATGTCAGTCAATATGGAGTTGACATGGCTGGGGTGGGAGAGTGGTTGGAGCGATGCATGATTGTGTTGTTTTGGATGGACTGCGGCCTTGCTGTTTGCTTCTCGATTGGCATCTACCTGCTCATGTTCGTTTCTCTAATCAATTCTCTGATGAACGCTATGCTAACAATTTTAGGTGGTCAACCACAACTTTCACCATCTCTCAGATGACGCCCATCTGGATCTTCCCAGCATATCCTTTGCTCATCATCGGACCTCATGCCGGTAACCTCGCACCCAAGGTTGAAGATCCAACAATATCACTCACCATCATCTTGACCGGATATGTCATCCAAGGCATTGGCTTCCTTGTGTCGCTCATGATTTACGCTGCCTTCATTTACCGCCTGATGACACAGAAGCTTCCTAAAGAATCTCTCCGCCCGGGTATGTTCATCAGTGTCGGTCCTTCTGGATTCACCATCGCCGGAGTTGTCATGATGGGTCAAGAGCTTCCGAAGACCGTACCCAGCGACTTCATGGGCGAGGGCAATGGCGAGCTCGCTGGCAAGGTCGGCATGATATGCGCAAATTACATGGGCCTCTGGCTCTGGGGTCTAGCACTATGGTTCTTCTTCGTAAGTGTCGGCGCGCATTACTCATGTGCCAGGCGCGGAAAGATGGACTTCGCTATGACATGGTACTCCTTCATCTTCCCTAACACCGCACTCACGACATCGACCTTCGCCATCGCCCGCGCTCTCAACGGCAACAAGCCCATCGAATACATCGGCTGCGCAATGACTATCGCACTCATTTCCATGTGGTTCTTCGTCATCTACATGAACGTTCGCGCTGTCGTCATCCGTCAAATATTGTGGCCAGAGAAGCAAGAGGATAGGACCGAAGGTGGGTGGAAGCAACAAAGTGCGGAAGAACAGCAGAGGAGACAGAGGGAAAGGGAGTTGGCTGATGGTGGGGAGAGTATGAGGGGTAGGGCATGGAGTCGCGCGAGAACATTTACCAGGCGTGAGGGTCAGGGGACAGGTATGCCTACGTTGGAGAGGTCTCAAACTGATGCTGGCGCGCGCAAGAGAGGATGGAGTTTTAGGAGGTAGGAGAAATGAGTTACGCGTATAAAGAAAAGAGGTTACTAGTATTTGTGTAGATTTAGTCGATACCCCTTAGAGCGATGTTTCAATTGGGCGTTAAATTTAGCTTTTGAAGTAGCTACATATTACGCTGAGTATTCACACCATATATTACTGAATCAATTGTTTGCATCCATGCATTCGCTACTGCGTAGTTCTCAGTAATTGCTTCAGGAATGACCTGCGATGCTATTGGATCAGCATATCAAGCTATCCTCCATCCGAGTACTACACGCGGGCTGACCCATCTTAGCTTAGCTAGGTTAGATCCTTGGCGGTCATGATATGCCCAATGTGGTCGCGTGAGCTCGTCGCGTCGTGATGTTGTATGTAATGATCGTCTGTTCCAGCTTGAATGGCCACGTATGTAAATCTCAAACCTATTTGCTTCTTCAGATTACGCATCTATTTCCCGATATGCTGCACATCGAGTTTGGTGCCCATCTCGGAGCCGGCGAGGCTGCAGGAGGACGAGGCAGCACGGTCGGTTCTATGCAAGCCAATCACTCATCCACTGTCGCGTGCATAAAATGACCTTGTTAGGGGACGGACTCAGCCTTCCTTCGCATGTCCCGTCGCAACACACCGCTTTCTCTCCTTCTGAGACATGCCCTTATTTCTATTTTCTTTCTCATCACAACAGATGTGTTGACCGATATTATTGCTACAACCTGTTGCTGTGCGCAAACGAGTCGTTGGAACGAACAGGAAAACTCATCTAGTCTTTGCGCCATGTGGAAGGCGACCGTGGACCGACCCGTGGACCGACACTCATTCGACCCTTACGGCGAGGATTTCTCCTCAGGGTCGATGTACTCTGGCGTCCATCGGAACGTTCTAGCACCTCCGACGATCGTAGCCTCATCTGGGGGAAGCGTTGAACGCCAGCAGGACGCACCGGAAGAACGAGACCGTAGCAACACGGGAGATCCATCTGAAGGTGAAAATCTACTCCATCTCGACCCAGCTACATCACAGCATACTCTTACAAATGGTGAGAATCAGCCTGAAAATACCGAGAAAGACGATGAATGCAGCAATGCACCACAACATCAACATGTTCGAATGCTTGGTCATGGCGGAAGCGCAAGCGTTGAGATGGTCCGCGATATCGATACGGGCTCGGTGTATGCACGGAAGATCACCAGAGTCTACTCTCGCAATGTGCAAGAGGCAAAACGAAAACTTCTCAACGAAGTCGAGATCATGCGGCGCTTAGCTGCACATCACCATGTTGTCCAAGTGCATGCCACTTATATCGAAAGAAGAGAGCTTACAATCATTCTTGACCCGGTTGCTGATGGAGGAGACCTAGCGGGGTTTTTACAAAACTACCGTGACCAAGGCTTTTCCTGGCACAAAGGTTATACCAGCGACGAAAATCTTGTCCAGAATAATATCCTGCGCAAAGCTCCGTACTGTTTAGCTTCAGCCCTAGCCTTCATTCATAAGCAGACCATCCGACACAAAGACATCAAGCCACAGAACATATTAATCCATCGAGGGCACGTTATGTATACAGATTTTGGTTCTTCATACGACTTCGGAGATGCCGGCCGAAGTACAACTACGGGATACCCACAGGGCATGACTAGGCGATACTGTGCACCTGAGGTCATTGAGTGCGGAAGTCGAAATTCAAAATCGGATGTCTTTTCTCTGGGATGTGTATTTGTCGAGATCTATCTGGCCCTGGCGAATGACGCCGAGCACGACCAAATGTATGAAGGACCTTACCATGAAGTTGTGCAGTCTAACCCGGATGGCTTACCGTTGCCTGATATTTACACGCCACCACATCATTGCGTACAGCGTCGACTTCGAATCTCTACGCTGTTTCGAGCAACGACTCCAAAAATGATGTTGAGAAACCCGGACTCGAGATTCTCTGCGTGCGCAGTCGCCGATCTTATCCTTACTGATGAGAATTTCAACAGTCGTTGCGACCTATGTCTAGAATGTTGCAAATCTTCTACTTCAGTTGAAAGTAACAAATTTCTCCGACTGCTACCCGCTACTATCTAGCAAGGTCGCTTGCGCCGCAGTAAGACGGATGTCAACATCCAGACTCCCAAAGCCACAGGCTGGTTTAAAATTCCGCTTTGATACAGGATATTCATTCAAAATCTACATAGCCTTTATCCAATCGCTACAAGATCCATACTGACTGGTCGCCTGTCGGCCTTACTGGGCATGTTCGACACACAGGAGGAATCTGACATTGAACCTCGAATGTCACATAGAGAATTCTTTCTTCAACCTGCCAACTGAACAGCTTGATGATCATTGACTCTAGTTCTAGCACTCTAGATCATCGGCATATCCTCCATACCCGGAAGAGCAGTCAGCCAGCCGTCATGTTCCTCATGCACACGGTTGGGTACAACACATTTGTTGCCATCAGCAGGCTGCTGTGTCTTCAAACTACCGCAGTTGGCACCCATGCAGCCCTTAGCGTCATCCATAGCCTTCTGAAGCGAGTCGTCCTTCCAGCCGAAGACGTAGTCTCCATGTTGTCCATATCCGGTGTTGTCTCCAGTAGAAAGGACGAAAGGCTGCGAGCCATCGGCAGGCCACTCAGCTTTGTTGTTGAACTTGCTAGTGTCCCAGACGATCTACAACGAAGTTAGCTTTTGTGTAATAGTGAGAAAGTCTTGGAACTTACCTCAAGCATGACCTGTGGGATTTTCACGGGGTGTGTTGAGGGGCATGCGCCACCAGTACCAGTACCAGAGAAGAGAGCCGGGCCATTGCTGGGGTATGCAACATGAGACTTGTGATCTGGCGAGTCGAGATTCTTTCCGTCCCAGCATCTAGCGATGGGTCAGTGACATACAATGGTGGGTGCTGCGAGGGATTTCACTTACGTTGGGTAGAGAATGTTGCTGCGTATGCCACCTGGGCAAGGTGTCGTAGGGAAGCCTTCGGTGTCGAGCCTTGATACGTTAGCATGTAGTTGGTTATAATGAAACGTGCATCCTCACTTAGCATCCTGGCAAGGTGCAGCATTGTCGCCACCAAAGTTAGGCGCGTTGTAGCAGCGAAAGCAAGTCTGAGACTTCAAATTCTTGGATTTGCGGTTGGTGGCATCACCCACGAGCATACGGAAGCCCTGTGTGCTGCGTTAGAGATCAGAGTTGCATAAGAATCGATCTTGCTTACGGGCTTGAAGGCTGTGACTTGGCCTTTGCCACCGGAGACGTAGTAAACAACGAAGCCTCCAGTGGTCTTGCCAGTGTACTTGTCATTGAAGAGATCCCTGTATCATATCAGTGCAAAGAACGACTGACCGTTGATTGGAATGATTACCTGTTGGGAATTTGAGGGACACGCTTATAGGTTCCGTTACGTGCCTTGAAGTACACGTTCGCGGTCCAGTAGTTGGAAAGCTGTCATTCACTCCGTCAGGCATTATCCCCACGCATACATCATCCCTCTTGACTTACATCCTCAGAGTACCCGCATGTAGTGCAAGTTGCAAGCTTGGAGATATCGGTTGATTGCATTGTGATGTTGAACGCGTTTCCTCCAACCACCTGATGCATATGTGGTGAAGGAGCTTGGCCAGGGTTTACGAGGGGATCGATCCGATCGATGACATTCTGAGCGCAGCCGAAACGCAACATAGTGAAGCCCTGGCCGCCAAAGCCTTGGGGCATAGCCTGCGCGAGGGCGGCGAAAAAGAGAGTCGAGAGAAGCATGACGACTGAGAAGTTGATTCACTGGAGGATGCAGAGATGGAGAGAAGAAGTACGGAAGGATGCAAGGAAGATGCAATGGCAGATAAAGTACTTTAAGAGATGTTCTATGCGGTGTTCACACGAGCCCGATGCGATCCAGACGTGGAATGTTTGCCATCCATCTCACCTTCGACGTTTGCTATACAACTGCCGACTCCATCTCTACCAAAGGATACATATTGGGGTTACCACAACTTAACCTACTGTGTACGTCCTCGTGGCATTAAGGTAATGTCGGCAGTTGCGGAACTAATTTGCTGATCCCGCATTCGGCTAAAGGCTTGAGATTGCTTGACCAACCCGACCGACGTTTCGCACGACAGGTGGTACCGGAGCACGGGGATCGACGTAGCGTCGTGGGGAAGCTGGGGCATATTGTAAATGAGAAGATGTGGATGGAAATGGGGTCATCAGAAAGGCCAGAGTGATGGAATGAGGCATGAATTGAACTGCACTTCGCGTCCTACTCTACCATTGCCGTCATACGCTGACATACCAGCCTCATGAGTCCAAAAACGAGTAGAGCTAAGCAGGTGCAGGGATTGAGTCTGCAACAGCCTTGATTCCAGCATTCCAGATGTCGCCCATCCGTGAGTAGCCCGCAGCGTTCCTGTCAAACTGATTAGCTGATCGTTTTCTCGTAGACTATTACGCAGGTAGGATTCATTGCTTACGGATGCAAGTTATCGCTCAGCTCGCTGTTTGAGTTGAGTACATTCATATCGACAATCGAAACCTTTGATCCCTTGCTGACTCTGGCAGCAACGATAGCAGGCAATGCATTGTTGAAGGTCTTGATCGTCGCGTTAAGACCAGACTGCTTTGACGGGATAATCTTAGCCACGATAACAACCGCATTCGGAACTGCCTTCAAAACATCATCGATCAAAAGTCCAAGTCGTCTCGGCGCATCAGCATCAGGTTCCGAAGCAGGGTTTCCACGGTTCAGGTCGTTGGTGCCGGCATGGAGCAAGACGACGTTTGGCTTGAATGCCAGACCGCCGGCAACAACACCACGGATCTGTGAGATCGTGTATCCGGGGAAGCCTTGGTTGTCTTTATCGGCCATCGTTCCAGACTGTTGCGTGCCAACGAAGTCGACGGTGTTGCCGGAGGCCTTCAGGTCATTGAGCAGTTGCTGACGATATCCGTTCGTACCAGCGCCATTCATATAACCCCAGGTGATTGAGTCACCTAGAGGCAAGATGCGGAGGTTGGTCGTCTTCCGCGCAGCGAGCGCGTCGCGTGTTTCGTGGGGAAGACCGTTGGCAAAGGACAAGACTACAGCGCATCAGCTGTATGTGTTCATGATACATGTGGCATACTTACAGAATGCGAGGATAGCCAACGGCAAAGCCAACCGGTTCATGATGTTTGACAGCATGATGATCAGGTATCGAGGTCTTGTCGAAAGCGCGAAAGCGACAGAGGTAGGTAGAGCGTCCTTTTCATCTAAACCATCTCGTCAATATACATGCGTCCCCTCCCCCAAAGGGCACACATGTTTCGAATTCCTCCGTCAGTTTGATGAAGCCGAGAAATTAGCTCACCCTAAGTTCCATCAATCTGCGACACATCTTGATGATATGAATTCTCCGTAGGCAAAAGTACGGCTAAGATCTGACAGAAATGACGTCATCCCATCCGGACGATAGGCGACAAGTCGACTTCAGCGCGTGAGAAGCTGCTCCTCAGCATCGTCGAATGGTGTCAATTGGTTTGAGATCTTCCGGACTTCTTTCTACCATTCTTTGGTGCTCTCTTTAGCCTCGGTTGCTTACCTTAATGTTGCGATGTGGAGAGCAATTTGGCCATTGATGTTTGACCCTAAACCTCCCCGCATGCTAACGCCGCTGGGTTTAGCTCAAGTAATCGCGGGATTGTGCACCTGTCAATAACGCCTGGAATTCCTAGCCTCATTATCTCGCACGCCGACCGTGCGCTGCACGCCACAGTATTGAAGCTCCAAAGAGCCATTCCATCTAGCCCATGGTGTACCCAAGGAAGCCATGGAGCTTCCGCCCTTGCAGTACCAGAGCTTGGCCGGGTCCAACCAGATCCGCCTTATCACTATCCTCCATCGCGAGCAAGAGTCGGCGATAGAACTTGAGCTCGAGCAGGTCGACTTAAACTCCGATCACAGATACGAGTGTTTGTCGTATGCGTGGGGACATGATGGTTGTGGCCGATTCATTACGGTCAATGGCTCATCATTCCTGGTCAGCTCTACTTTGTATGTCGCGCTTGAGCATCTCAGGCACAGGTCGCAAGAGTGCAAGCTCTGGATTGATGCCATTTGCATCAATCAGACTGACAATTCTGAGCGGAATAGTCAAGTCGCTATCATGAGGCAAATATACCACAACGCGGCGCGCGTGATAATTTGGATCGGGCCAGCAACAGAATCGAGCGAAAAGGCCATGGCATTCTTGAAGATAATGGCCATTGCTAAGAAAAATGAGGATCGGAATATGCGCAGAAACGGTGTCAGAGTAGCTAGTGATACGAGCTCAGAACTGGGTCCTGGACCGGATCGGTCACCTTGGAGTCTTCCTTCGGCTTCAGATCATAGCGCTGAGCAAGTGGATTTACCAGAAGGGAGCGTGTGTTCGAATTTTGAACCAAACAACAGAGCGATTTCCGGAGACGAGGATTCGGTCAACTCGTATGCCGCTTCGTTGGGTCGCGAAGCTAACAGTAGGCCACTGTCTTTGCGCTCTACCAGAGCCTTGTGTGATGATGGGAACCAATCTAATGATTTTATACGATGGAAAAGGCTGAAAAAATTCCTGAAGTCACTCTGGACGTCACTCAGACGGCAATATTCAGCATATAAGGACGCTCGATGGAGCCGGAAAAGGTGGTCTGAGTTCGTAGACGCACACACTGCCATGGAAGCTACGAAGAATAATTTCACCATCACAGGTTATCCTATACTATATAACATGTTCGGAAATCCTCACGAAGAGTACTTCAAGAAGGAATGGGATTCCCACTGGCAGGCTGTCGATGAACTACTTGCGCGCCCTTGGTGGGGCCGGACATGGATCGTACAGGAGGTATGGTGTGCTTCAAACGCAGTGCTTCACTGTGGTGCTACGAAGCTCAAGTGGAAGAATTTCCAGAAGGCCATGGACTACGCTGAGGGATGGGACGATATGGGGGACCATGTAAAAGGCACGGAAAGGCAGTCGCAATGGGAGACCTTGCGGCGACGGTATACATTAGCGATACATCTTGCTAAAGCCAGAGTCAATGGCAGTACGCTATCGTCACTGCTTTGGAACATCTGGGATCGCGCATCGACGGATCCAAGGGATAAGGTGTTTGCTGTATTGGGTCTGGTTGGTGAAACCAAAGATGGAGATTACACCATGGCACCAGACTATCGCAAGTCAATGGAACAGGTATATCGAGAGATTGCGCGAGAAATCATAATCAAGGAGGGTCGAATGGACATCCTACTTGCGGCAAGCGGTGTCAATGGTAGTGACCAATTGCCATCGTGGGTGCCGGATTGGCGAAGCGAGGCTACCATGGGAAGGCCAATATTGCTGGTCAACCGCAAACTCTTGATGAAACTCGCATACTCTGGATCCATGAACATGGCCATATTAAAAGGGCATGGATACCTTGCGGCTGGCAATTCGGAGGCGTTTGCTCAGTTCAGCGACGACCTGAAGGCACTTACGGTATTGAGTAAGAAGTGGGATAGCATTGTGGAAGTTTGCGATGCAGACATCACTGCGACGAGCAACGATGAGTTCGTGGATCAGATCAGTGAGTTCATTCTTCGATCGAAGTTCATATCTAGCAGGAGACGACGGAGGGAGTTGACCAGAAGAGAGCACGCCACCGATTCTCAAGACACATCCATGCTGATGGCCACACTCACTGGTGGAGGAAGAATATGGTATGATGAGTACGCACCCACCATGCGAAACGTGATGCGGCAACGTCGGCTTTTTATAACAAAGAATGGTCGTGTTGGGATCGGTCCAGTAAATGCTCAGCCTCACGATGTGGTCTTCATCATCTCTGGCTGCAATTTTCCGATAACACTTCGACCACGCGAAGACATGTTCGGCGTCGTTGGCGAAGCCTATAGTAAGTTTCTGAGATAGCGTATCTCGAGAACAGCAGGCTAACATGACATGATGCAGTTCATGGATATATGAACGGTGAAGCCTTGGCTCGTTCATGGTACAAAAGATGGATGCGAGTCTGGAAGAAGATCACATTAGTCTAGGATAAGCAATCTCGGGCTGACCTCAGCTCATTCGGTTTCCCTGTTACATGATCATGCAGCATCCATTCCATCTGTTCCGTTGTTCTACATGAGAGTACCCACCCATATCGTAACCATTACCGTGCAGTCACGCTGTATTCGGAAGTTCACCAAATCGGTATTGCGCCCAGCTCAGACTCACCTCAGGCATCGTCCAGAGCTGTTCACCAGCGCTCTCACCTGCCGCACCAGCAGCGACATACATGGGTAGAATATGGTCGAGCGTTGGATGCGCTTGTCGCCCATCACTGCGCTTCATAAGGTCCAGCAGGTTCTCCTTGCGTTCTTCTGGATTAGAAGTCACGGCATTCTTGAGTGCATCATCGAAGGTGGAGGAGTAACTGCAAGGGATTAGTCAAGTCTCCCAACGGCGATTCAATCAGCTAAACGGTGCACAGATATGACGTACGGCATATTTTTACCCGATCCTCGAGACTTTCGGTAGTCCTGTAGGTTGTGAACTGCCATTCCAGCACCTACGATCAGTATGCCCTCGTCGCGGAGACTCTGAAGCGCCTCGCCCATGCGATAGTGGCGTCCGATATCCTCGTTGTCGAAGAGGGAGACTTGGACGATCGGCACGTTCAGAGGGTTCTTATTGGGATCGAAGGCTGTACTAACACGTTAGAATGGAAACAACCCCATCAATTACAACAAGGTGATCATACCGACAACAAAGCCTGCCCATACCCCATGATCAAGCCCTCGCTTCACCTTCTGCACCTCGATGCCGGCGCCACCCAGCTTCTCGATGACCTTGTTCGCAAGTTCAGGGCTGCCTTTGTTCGGGAATTTGTACTCGTAGTAGTGAGGTGGAAACCCGAAGAAATCATAGATGATATCAGTGTCCTCTGCGGCGTTGATCTGGATACGGTTTGGGCTATCTTGCCAGTGTGCAGAGAAGACGACGATCGCTTTAGGCTTGACTTTGGTCGTAATCTCTTGACCAACCTCGCCCAACTTCGCGTAGGCAGGATGCTGCGTGTTTTCCATAAAGTTGGGTCCACCGATGCTCAGGAAGTAGACTGGCATCCGTGGGGAAGGAGTGTTGGTAGTATTGGACATCTTGAGTATCTTGGGAGGACTTTCTTGGATGGCGATGGGGATTCTGGTAGCAGTTTGGTAGAGGAATGGGATACAGAGGCTCACTACGAGGATGGTCAAGTATGTGGGCGACAGCGCCAAGGGCATGTCTTGCTGGGTGATGCTGAGCTACCAAACGTCGCAGAACAAAGATGATTGGGACTAGGCAATGGACTGACAGTAGAGCAGGGGCATCGCCGAGACTATGATCGAGTGGATATCAGCTGCCAATATCGACGACGTTGGATAACCGGAAAGACGACAATGTTTGCAGGTGAATACACGTGGTTGTTGCAAGCAGCAGCAGCATTCGGGATCGTATGTCATGCCGCTTCCGATATACTCAAAGTTGTCTCTTGCATTCTGTACGGAAGACCGTGTACAAAATGCTAGTCCAACCGCGCGGTCGCTGTAAGGGCTTTCCTGTTTCGGCTAGATGACAGACGTTTGCCTTCTACCCCCGTCACAACCGCGCGGCTTATGTAAGTATCTTCTCGTGCAGCATGCATGATCGCGACACACCCTGCTTGAATCACTGCACGCCTTGATTTTACCCGCTTTACTAGGTCGCGCGGGTTGCAAACTTCTGCCTAATGGGGTGTATTTCTCTCCCGCGCGGCCTGCACTGGGTATCCTATCGGCCCTGCCTGGGCGCCGACTGTTGGCTGCTGCTTGATCTTTCTAGGCTGACCCGCGCGGCTTGTGGGTCTATTACAATAGAGTTTCTGACACTGAAGGCGACTCCAATATTGGTTCGCATCGTGATTTCCGCGCGCGGTTCATCGCACCACTACGGCACCCAGTCTCCCCCGCATTCTGCCGCCCAGCATCTCTTCGACTCGTACGACAGCACGAAGGCACAACCATGCTGAATCCTAGGCAACGTGATAATAGCACAAGCACATTGACTGCAAACGGAAGCCGTCTCTGTTCGCCATGCCTTTGCTTGACTCGCATGTCCCGAGCGCACTTTCCAATTAGTATGATGCTTTCGTTCTGGCTCCAAAAAGAAGGCAGAAGCTGAAGACTCTTCTGATATAAAGACACCACGCGTCGGCTTCTTCACGTACATGTCGCCCATCCCTTCCTTCGTCTCCAAACTCTTCTGTTTCGGAACCAAGTCCAAATCTACCACAAGCACAATCTCAGAACCCTCTCCACAATCATATCCCACTCACGTCAGATACACAAAGATGGCTCCTGTGGTCCTCATCCTCGGCTCTGGTCCTCGCGTTGGTGCATCTGTTGCCCAGGCTTTCAAGGACAGCGGCTACAGCGTCGCTCTTGCGTCCCGTAAAGGCACCAACAGCAAGACCGAAGAAGGATACTTCTCCATTAAAGCCGACTTTGCGTCTCCTTCCAGCCTGCCCGATGTCTTCTCTGCCGTCAAGTCGGAGTTTGGCTCTGCCCCAAGCATCGTCATCTACAACGCTGCCGCCCTGACTCCTCCTTCAGACCCGACCTCTGTCTTATCCGTCTCTGCCGAGGCTGTCACCAAGGACTTGAATATCAATGTTGTCAGCCCGTACGTGGCGGCACAGCAGGCGCTCGCAGCCTGGGAGACACTTCCCGAAGACACTAAGAAGACCTTCATCTACACTGGCAACGCCCAGAACGAACTCATCATCCCCATGCCGCCCATGATGAACTTGGGTGTCGGCAAGGCTGCAAGCGCGTACTGGGTCGGTCTTGCTGACACGCTGTACAAGTCCAAAGGCTACCGGTAATCATCTCAAATACATGCGTGTATGGTCTTGTTCGCTGACATTTCGTGATTCAGATTCTTCTACGCTGATGAACGTCATCCTGATGGCAAGTTCAAGGGTATGGCGCTCGATGGCCCTGCCCATGGCGAGTACTATCCACAGTTGGCGCAGCACCCTGAGGGCGTGCCATGGCAGGCCACTTTCGTGAAGGGTCAGGGATATGCCTCTTTCAAGTGAGAATATCACCGCTCTCTCGACTGGTAAGGGATTGTTTCCTTCGAAGTGAGCAAATCAAAGTACGGAAATCGGACGCAAGGCGTTGCGTAGGTGACGTGGTTGTCGGTCTTGTTCGTCGTTCATTATACTGTTCGTAGTCAGCACAATAATCCACACTACTATCAAACGATCTGAGCATGTGTTATACATGTGTGAGACGAGCTTCTCTGAGTGCCTGTAAATTGTGTTTGTATGTTCGTTGTCAAAAAGGAAGATTAGACATGGCGACCAATCAAGTGGATTCAAGTATGACATCACCTAGACTAGCAACACCAAGTCTCCCTGACTCCTGAAACACGTCGCCAGATCCCTGATTTCCGTATCGCCTGCGCGCCTTTTTGACCACACACTCTCCATGACTTCCAATGCTTTACGAACCGTACCGAACACGCTTGGAGGTTGTAGTGCCTGAACCATTTCCCGCAATTGCGCTTCCTGCTCCGGCGCCGCCAGACAGCCTGCCACGCAGAACGGCCATACCATGGAGCGCAGCAACGCTGGCGGTACAATCTGCTGCGCCAGTAGCTCAATGATCTTTCCAACGTGATACCGCACGTCCAAGCTCGCCGGCTGCCATCCCGACACAACAACAAACAAATACAATAGTGCTGCGTGTGCCCAGACACGGGTCGCGAGGATAGTTTGGCGCGTGGGTGTTCTGCGTTGATGTCCAAAGTCTGAAGCGAACATCTCTAGCAAGCTCAACCCTTCATTGGAAGAGCTTATGGGGCCATTCTCAAGCTGCAAGATATGTTCTTCAACAGAGGCCTTTATGGCTGTGGCGCGCCGGACCAGCTCCATAACGTCAAGGCTTCCTGCGCGATGGGATTGTTGCTTCCATGAATCGAGGGCAGCTATCTCGCCGACATAGAGGAGTGCCCAGTTCTGACACCCTACTGTTTCCTCGAGGTTGATGACGGCTTCGGAGCTACTGGGTGTATAGAGCAGGCTCCGATGATAGCTGTGTAGGCGAGGCTGTTGTTGAAGAATTGTGGCCGCGATGATGTCGTCCAGGATAAGGAGGGCAGAAGAGAAGCGAAATGCTGCTTGTTCTGCGATGGGGGCTTGAAAGATCTCGGCTGGATCGATCAGTGTGGTGGGGTTTAGACGATCCAAGACTGCGTTGAAGCTTGAGCTGGGACATATTGGTGTCATGGCGTCGACGCTCTCAAGAAGCTGCATGAAGAGTGCTAGTGCGGCGTTCAAGTGTGCCTGGCAGTTGTTGAAGCTCAGAACGGCTACTTCAAACCTTTGCACTTGCATAATGCTGGCTAGGATGCGTACCGTACCGTGCAAATGCTCCATCACGCCTGCGTCACTAATCACCTGTAGTGATAATCTCAGTACCTCGAACGCATCTCTTGTCTGCTCGAGAACCTTCCCCCAATTCGCTGCCCCTTGTGCCAACGACAGGAAATAGGAGCTCTGGCATAAAAGTGCCTGCTTCACGACCGGACTGCTGATCATCATCTCCAGGATCCATGTCCGACCACCCTGCAGCAGCGACGGGCGGTAGAAAGGAAACAAGAACGGGAACAGATTTTCGAGATAGAACATGACGAGGATCGCATCCGAACGTCCGATCGCCAAACGCTCTCGTGTCTCCTTGCTCGCGAGCGTGCAATCTGGGCCTCTCTGGCGCAACCTCGCCAACGAATGGGGAGTTGTTCCTGCGCTACCAACTAGCAAGTTGCACGTTGGAGACGCTGAAGCCCTCGGTGTCTGGGTTGGCAGCATGACGCAGTCTCCATTGATGGCAGTTGCGGGCGACACGCGTTCGCTACTACTCGGAAACGGTGCGCTGCGACGACGATGAGCATTCTCTTTGACTTCCAGTTTGAGTGCCTCGGCCATTTCCTCTTGTTTGGCGCCACCGTCCATCCATTCTGGCTTCGCAAGATCGAAGTGACAGGCGATCATGAGAGACGAGCATACGTCACAGATGGGGCGCTTCTCGTCGCATTTTTTGCGGCGGAGGCGGCACGTCCAACAGCCTGTGAAACTGCGGATTGTGTGAATTTCCATAGCCGTGTTCGTATCGCTCCCTCAGGTGTGTTCGTCAACTTGAGCTTCGTGCGATTATCGTCATGAAGCACTTGTTTCGGAGTTAAGAACGAGGTATTAGAGAGCTAGAGGGGAAACTTTCCAGGTCCAGGGCAGTCAGGCGGCAGGTAGCACAAAGAGTGGGGCTGTTCATGCAAGCCAGCTCGCACCATGCATGCCAACAAAACAAGAAAAAAGGGCGCGTGGGATAAGCTTGTAAGCACTAATATATTGAGGGGCAGACAATTGGCTCGTTTCAGGCGAGCTGAGGACTAATCGGTTACGTGCAGGTTGAACTCACTTCATCTTTCAAAGCTTCCGATTAGATGATCAAGGTATCTGAACTACGTGATATGGTGAGATATGACTAGACAAACTCCTACGCAGACATTCGATCTTCTCGAATCTTCTACTGCACGGCAACAACGGAAACACCCTCCTCTGGCAGTGGCACGGCTTCCTTTCCGAAGGTTCCAAACTTGTAATCGGGTACACGGCCGTAGTCCTCCAGGACGGGATTGGACACCTCGATAGCCCACTTACCACGTGAGAGCATGTCGTCACGGAACTCCGTGACAAGCTGCTTCAGATCATCACCTTTGGCAGCGGTATCTCGCACACGGGTAAGGGTCCGTCCGAGCTTCAGCGCATCCGTAAAGGCGCAGACACCGGCCTCACCACGGACTCGAAAACATCAGCAATCGTGCTAGTTGGTGAATTTGTGATGCATACTTACAAGGTGTCATAGAATGAGCTGCATCGCCGATGACGACGACCTTTCCGGCAGGTAGTTGTTCAGCGGTCATTTGTACGCCCTGGAGTTGAAACCCAGGGCTGCTGTATCCTTCGATGGGAACTTTGTCAACAAGCTCTCGGAGGTGATTTGGATACGCCTTCGTCTTCTCACGAGCAAAGGCAGCGAGCTGCTCCTTGGTCGCCCCAACAGTCCAGTTGGGGTTCTCCTCCGTGGTGTTTGGAGCATTCTTGTCAACCCAAAGCAAGATGAAGTAATAGTACCCTGTGTTGCCATCTTCGCTAACCTTGTTCAAGGCACCAAATATAGCACTCTGGTCATCGCTTCCCAGTGTCGAGTTCATGACTATGTATCCCGAGTGCGCTAGTGCGAGCTGGCGCTTGAAGTCGTCACCGCTGAGCGCTACTTCGCCAACCAGAGAGCCGAGTGCCAGTGGCTTCATAATGTCCTGGCCGTGCAATATGTGCTTCCGGACCATGCTTCGCGTTCCCTCAGCACCGACAAGAAAGTCGCCCGTCTCAGAAGTGCCGTCGCTAAAATGTACCGTCACCTTGTCGTCAGCTTCCTCAATCCTCGCTGGTTGTTTGCCGTACTTGACGTCAATCCCCTGGAGTAGCCAGTTCCTAAGCCGCGTCCGGTTGGCGCGTAAGATCTTTCCGCTCTCATCGCTAATGACCCCAGCACGCATTCCAGGCCTAGTGATATCATAAAATACAAACTGGGCTGGAAGATCCAGGGGAAGCAAATGGCTCGTCTGGTCAACGGGGCCTATTTCCTCCGGCATCGACTCCACCAGATCTGCCAGTGCTGGCCCGAAGAGTGAGAGTGCCCAGCCCTGAGTTCGAGCATCGCTGGTTGGGTCGCGCTCAAAGATGGAAAAGGATATGTTGGCTGTCTTGAGTTGGTGTGCGAGCGTAAGCCCGCTCATGCCAGCCCCTACAACGAGAACATGAGGGTACGACTTGGTCGACATAGTCAACAGGTAAACGGTCGTGACAAAAGGCTGGAAAATTGGGAACAAATAAGATGGGGTGAACTTTGAATTGAATATCTGGTAAGCTGTCCGACGTGTCTACGCTGTGCTTTTAACGTACTCAAGCGACTGTTGTCCATGAGTGATATGCTCAAACATCATGAGAGAACGTCTCTAACTACCACGCGCGGCTGAGTACAATTCACCCGACGAGACTATTCCACCCACCCCCGCCCAAACTATTCAGATGACCTCGATATCTGAGTAAACAGCCCATAAAGCCTTTTCAAAGTGGAACGCCTGATCCGATGGATAGATTAGCTTTCCATAACTTGAAGGATGTGCAGGCAAACCATGTTGAAGCTGGGGTTATCCTCAACACGACCCTCCATTTGGGTTGAGTGTTGCATCCAAAGACCGTTGCGAAACACCAGTCATGCAACAGTCAGAGCTGAACGCGAAATGTGTGGATGAATGTTGCCGTCACTCGTGCTCGCTACGCATCTTTAGGGAACCTCGGCCATTGCACTGCTGACACTCGGACTGCGCACCTAGAAAACCCCGAACATTGATTGACTAGCTCGTTTCTTGCACAGCCTGTTCAACTCATACGTCGAGTCTTACCAAGCGAATCTGGTACCAGCGCGATACAATTTACCGCGTTTAGCAGCAAGGTGCCTACATTGCAATGGAAGCGGTGCTGGAAGTCCTCGTACTCCTGGTGTTCGTCAGCCCAGGCCACCCATTCCTGCAGCGTGGGCTACCAACTACCGTATAGTGACAACGCGAGGTTGTCGCGCCGGATCTCGGCCGTTTAGCCGGCCTTATATTGGGTCTGCACATCATGTCGCTGCAGGGTGGGATGTCAGCGACATACCCGCGCGGTTCCTGCACCAGATGCGGGCCGTTGCAGGATCTGCACTTTCGGGCACTACGGCAGTTTCCGTATAGGTCTTACATGTCTTATCTTCTACCCGAGACTCGAGTTACGCATCGTCAAGCAGAAGATGACTGCATGTGGGAGCTGTGTAACTGTTTCCGGAATTCCGCGCCAATCACTGATCTAGCTTGATGATTACATGGACACCAACATGAACGCTGAACCGTCATCGCATTGGCGTACACCTCAGACCACGTCAAACGCAGGAAATCCTTTCGACGCTGACAGCAGCATGATTCCGGAACCACCCGTTCATGTGCTACATGGCGCCATCGAAGAGTCTCATTACGCAAGCGGTGCTTGTTGAAGAAGCGGCTGTTTTGTTGAAGCCTCCTTGAGCTTACGCTCATTCCTACGTTGTAAAATCCGATTGCAACAACAACTGAGCAATCTAACTTCTAGAAACTTAAAAATGCCAACTGCAAGACTCCGGAAGTGGAAAACTTGTTGTTTTCCCCAGCTTCAGCTGCGACTTCTTGCGAAGACAGACCTCTCACCTTCAAATACTACTCCAGGATGCTGATCAGATAATTAGAAGGTATAGACACTGATGAAAGTGGACCTGATGATCTCCAATCAGGAGTTGACTTTCAGCACGTTGGGGTAGAAGATAAGACGACACCGATAAGCTAGCGTTGCAGTACACATAGAAGAGGTAATCTGTATTCCGGAACTGATTACATGTGGTTTCATAACCCGAGCAGCTCCTAAGCCAGTGTTGCACCAATGATACCATGGCAAAGTTCACGATTGTACACGATACAGTCTTTGACGACCAAGCCAACAGCTGCCAGTATTTCGTCCCACTCCTTCCTCATTCGTTCACGTGCGCCACAGGCACCCAGCATCACCAGATCCAAGGAGGCGGCAAAAGACGGAACCGCCTCTTCTGGCAATATCATATCGTTGATCAGAATTACGGATTCAGCACTCATCGCCGATTTGATCTGGCTTAGGATCTGCTTCGATTTATCATCGTTCCAGTTGTGGAGAATCCACCCGAGATGATAAAACTTCGCACCTGAATAGACTTTAGCATATTATTTCCCGTTTAAGAGCTATCTCGCGCATACCTTTGATGGGCTGAGGCTGGAAGAAGTCGTGACCGATAGCTTCAACACCAGGTGTCTTCAAAGAATGGGCAAGGGTATCCGGCAAATCTTGCAAGATGATCCGGCCAGGGATATCCGGAAAGCGTTTCTTGAACATTGCGCAGTAATGCCCAACGTTCCCACCAACATCGACGAATGCTGGCAACTCGGGATTCCAGTCTTTCATCTGGGGTCGAATGGGGTACTCATCCAACCAGCGCCCCCGAACGGCCTGCTCCATAGCCATGTAGCTGATAAGAGCACCCATTTGCAGTGGGTTTTGAGAAAACCAGGTGTACGTGTCCAAATCAGTGTTGTAAGCTGGTTGGAATACTGTGTTTTTACCATCGGTAACATCCTGATACTTGTTCGCGCGCAAGAAAGTGGGCATTCCCTGAAACAGAGGACCGCAGTTCTCGAAGCTGGAAGAGCGGTCAATCCCCAAAAGTCGGTGGACGGTTGGCTGAGTCGCTTACAAGTGTGTGACAATCTTCTCAGCCTCTGGAGTTGCCAGATTCCGACTTTTCTGGCTAGCTTCAAATTGGTTGACACCCGTTTCGTGGATGAGTCCGACCGAGGCCATGTATCTAAGTAAACGCCCTAACACATACGATCAGCAATGCTTCTCAACAAGGCGAAAGGTCATCGCAAGGCGTACCGAGGGTGATCGGATGGGCATTCGTCACTTTCTGCAGCTCCTGGAGGCTCTTCGGACCAGATTTTGCCAAGGTGTCAAATATCTTCAAATCTTGGCCGATACGTGCAGCTGAAGATTGCAAGGGCTGGACAGTAATTAGTGGCTAGGCAACGGATGCACTTGAGGGGCGACTCTTACATAAAGAGCTCTGTGAGGAGCAAGTATTAGTTTCGCGTATCACGTTCCCAACAGGGCTGAACACTTACATGCGTGTTGCAGTCTCTTCTGGCGTCTCTAAACCAACGATCATCTCGTGCAATTCACGAAGTAGAATTTTTCGGGCATCGCCATGAGCTGATGTCAGTAGCTGCCTGACTTGATCCATAAGAGTGTAGGCCACCAAGATTTGATTAGTTGATGGAAAGAGATAAGCGAAGAGTAGGTTGCACGAAGAGCTGAAGGGTAACGGATGAAGGGACGAGACTCTCATTTATAGAACACATAAAGGCGCCATGAGCAAGCTTACGTTAGTTCTATGCGAGATTGCTTTTACTACTCTAGTTCTGTTCCGTTGTGCTTTGAATATCACTATTGCCGAAGCCGACAGTTCAAGCGGAAGGCGTGAACGGATGTGTCTTAGCAAAGTCAGACTCGCACGGGCAGAGTCAGAGGTTCAGAGTCGGCATTTGCTAACTTTAGCAAAGCGTCTTCGAATATCCCGTACAATGTGCTCAACTTCCCGCTTTCGTTTCTGCAACGTGCATAGGGCGCTTGAAATATAGCCCGAGTATGCGCAACAGTGTACACAAGTTTGTACAGCTCTGATTGACACCAAAACTAACTTTTACGCAATTGCAGTGAATGTCAGCCAACTTGTCAGATCCTGCAGTAAGAGACAAGAAGAGATGGATGCGAATCTGACTTGCAGAAACGCCACTATCAAGGTGCAGAGGTATAGTACGTATATATTGGCTGTATCATGATCGTGGCTACATGCATTAGACGTTTCATAGTAGGACAATCTACACCCAAGTGTAGGCCGCACATCCCACGTTGCCGTATACGTTGACATGAGCCGCGACCGAATGTCTCCGATGACGTTGAATGCTTATTCACACAAGCGGCTCGGGGTTTAATTGCGTATATTGCTTATCCGTACGCAAGCTCATCGAACCAGAATGCTTAGCGTGAACACCTGCAGAAGAAAGGACGCTCACTAGTTGTACTTCCGTGGAATGTCTACTGGAAAGTGCTGTGAGGTATTTACCTACCTCGTATACATGTAAGCGCCTACTGAAAGAGGCGTTGGGTACATCCTTGCACTACGGGAAGTACGTCTACTGAAGATGCTCTCTATCACCTTTCCTTCCGAATTGTAATGTAGGCGCGTTTTCGCCCGGGGTTGGAAAGAATGTTTGAAAACTACAACTTGCTACAAACGAGTTGCGTTATGGCTTGGGTGCCTATAGGATGTTGGCAATAGATGAATTAGCTAGGACAAGCATGCAGACGCGGTTCGATGTTAGAACAAAGGTTCTGACTCTCCCACGTTGCCAAGCAGCTTATCTCGAGCCGACCCTCCCAGCTATGCATGAGTTGACCGATCACTGTGCTACCGGGTCGGTCCGTGAACTGCGCGGAGACGAGAGTCATTCGTTATCGTACTTGGGTAGAGCACAACAAGCGGTGCCATATCAGACTTGTTGACGGCTGAGTCTGACATTCCTAGTCCGCTCGGAACGGAGTCTTACGCCCAGAAAGGCATGATACGTCTTCTAGAATGATAGGATGTGGTTGGTGACGGTGGTGTGAGGACTCGCTTTGTTGAGAAGCCGAGATGCTGATGAATACTGGCATCGGTTGTGACTCTTGGGGTATTTGGATGGTCGACGGCATAGATAAATATGTCGACAAACGGACTTTCTTGTATCGCTTCCTTTCCATCCTAAGATTTTGTCTCTCGCTGAGCCCAACACATATCGAAGATGATACGGGCCAAGGTCCTTTACTTTTCCGGAGAGATACCTCAAGGGGATCCGGAGGGCGACCAGCGAGATTTGTTTAGGAAGCTGCACTTACTCAGCAAGGAGCGAAGTTATCCGATCCTTGCCCTCTTTCTTGAGACCATCACACGGGCTGTGAGGGAGGAACAGCGTCGACTGATCCGCACTGAGAGAGATTCGATACCAGCTTTCGAGAGCATCTTGGACTTGACCGATCATGTCGTTGAGCTGAGGAAAACGTCGCTTGGTGGAGCGATCGAGCGAGTACTGGTGCTTTCCTTTCAATTAGGAAGCTTCATTGCGTAGGTCTCTCCGTCAGCTTTTGTAAT